TGTACACGTGTACATGTGTATATTGTGCAGTGCCCAGGGTAGCTACTGCACTGTATACAATTTGTATACAGTGAATGGAGCACAGCGCCCAGCTGCGTGAAATGAAAACCGCAGTTATCATTTAAATCATCATACACAAACAAAACACACTATACTCATTAATTTGGGATTGTGCGAGCTGCAGCAACCAATACTTTTAATTAGCTTACACTGTTTCATCGACTTCTCAAATACACATCATTATTAATGATAACTTTGCACGATATACATCGAGATATATATCAACATATTAAGTATTAATCACAAACTGTGAATTCGACCCATTGCTTTTGGTGATCGCCAGATACGAAAAACCACAAACCTTTTTGGAAAAAGTGGAAACGTATGCCCTGACCTATGCTGACCACCGCTCTCAGGCTAGCTAAGCAATGATAATGGGAGGTTCTTAAAACGACGTATTTTAAGATAGAATTACTTTAGCCATTACAATAGCATATAATTAAATAAATAACGTGTGTTGCGTTGCTGCTAGCAAGCGTGAAGTGACGCGTTTCTCCGCTAGCATCACATACCACTACCTATTCAAAATTCCCGCTCTGACCATCGAACCATACAATCATTAGCATATCAATGATAAATTCGATGCATTCTAATTCATTCTGGACTCAACCGAATACATCAACATTTATCATTTAAATCATCATACACAAACAAAACACACTATACTCATTAATTTGGGATTGTGCGAGCTGCAGCAATCGGCTTGAATAAATAAAGAACGGGTGGATGTTAGATACCTAACCGCTGAGAAACAGATAATAAGTTAGAAAAGCTCTCTTGGACATAACCATCTTTAGCCGTCTCCGACTTCCAACGCCCATGGCGTTTAAACAATCTGTCGGCTACACCAGCCTTAGCAGCCTCTGAGGCTCCACCTGATCTTAAACTATGTAAAGAAAATTTGGAAACATCTGCAACTACTGGAGAAATTGCTTTCAAAACTAGCTCTCTAACTCTGGAATATGACATGGACTGATTGTTTTTGCGCAGGGAATAACCATTTTTAACTTTTGTTAAGTTCCTGAACACAAAAGCCTCTTTATCACCACTGGAAATCTCTGCAAGATTAATATAAAGCTCTAACATATGGCTACTGGACAAGTCTGAGAAAATGATCTAGCAATAATAACTTCACTGCCCTGTCTGTACACGTCTGTCTTACTTGACTGAATCCGGATTGACAAATGGTCATCATGGAACATTAAATCTTGCATCTTAAGCGAGGCTAACTCATTAAATCGTGAGAAACCTGCAAAAGATATTAAAGCCATAGCCAAAGTTCTAATGTTCTTTAGGTTATGTACTGATCTGTCAGCTCCTTGCAATTGTACCATCTGTACTAGGATCTCGGGTGTTATTGGCTCTTTTCTTGCCCTTGGTTTAGCGAGTGTTCGTTTGAGTCCCTCTATGACTTGAACAGTCAATGGATCCTTCATGGGGTCGTCCAAACTGGCCATGCGATGTGCCCAGGAAATTGCTGATGAAGCACTGATAATTGGCGATGGTGACGCTGCTGAGTTGCTGATGTGAACCAGATATAATGATATTATATATGGATCACCAGGAAGGGGAGACTCGTCATGTGACAGTGCCCATTGATGCCATCTGGTAAAAGATGAGTTGTATTGAGTTACCGTGCTTGAAGCTCTTGAGCTCACCAATATGGAGGGCAGCTGGTTGGCGAGAGAACTCAGGTCTTGATTGTTGGCGCTCCTCGCGAAACGGTGTCTCCAGTTATCACTGTTGAAGATTAGCTTAACAAAGAGACAAAGAACTTTGTTACAACATATATGTTATTACTTTACAATATACACTGTTTTAATTCCTAATTTTCTCCATTTCAGAATTGACCCCCTGGGTTTCTACACTAGTAAGGCACCAAGCCCAAGCGTTCTGAACGCTTGTAGAGAAACTCATTGATAACTGCTGAACCTGACCGCTAGTACTGTACTGCGCACAATATCATGAATGAACTTAGAGTTATTACTTCGACCATTCTCAAAAAGTGGGAAAGGACTCACAAATTCATGGATACTTGTGATTTCTGATCTTTCATTGTAACCATCTGGGAATAATAACACCCAGTAAGGGGATGATCTCCAGGCGGGGCATATCAATGTCCCCTCAGCTCTGTTGGCTATTAACTGATGTATGACTCTTGGAATCAAATGTATCGGGGGGAACCAACCAGTTATTTTCCCCTGCCCAATCTTGGGTGAACGCATCGGTTGCCTGAGCACCTGGATTCCAGAATCTAGAATTAAAACGCGTTAATTTGGAATTATAATAACTGGCAAACCGATCGATTGTGTGAGGACCCCACATATGATCAAGTAGGGAGAACATCTCATCTGAGGTCTGCCAATCGTCATAATCGACCAGCTTACTTATGAAATCTGCCTTTTCGTTCTTCGATCTCGGCACCCATTCTAATTCAAGGAACACTCCATTGCGTACACAATTACGACATATGTTTAACACAATAGACTGTAAATCTGACTTCATACTGCCTTTGCAAACTATTCTTGTAACAGCTTGATTATCAGAAAACCATTTTACTCTGGTGTTTTTGAACATGTTTATTTGGGATGCTAACACCATGTCTATTGCTTTTAATTCTCTCCAGGTTGAACTATGTTCCTTTCATTTTCCGACCACTGACCATGACTGATCGAATCATTGACATTTACTATGTAGCCTCCGAAACCATTTTTGCTTGCATCTGAAAACACCATAGTTGAACACATGGGTGTTAATTTTATTGGAATTTCCTTCAGATTATCTATGTTGTGTAACCAGAAGAGGAGTTCTTCGTTGGCTTGTTCTGAGATGACAACTTTGGAATTCCACGAATTTCTAGATTCAATTACACAATGCATAGCTTTGGTCATTACCCTACTCATTGATCCCACAACTAAATAGGATGAAACAATACATCCTGCCACACTGGCTAGATCTTTGACTTTGACGCATGTTGACGAACCTGCTGACTTGGGAGTTATTAACAGTTCTTGAATTCGTTCCTTGATGCTGTTTATTCGTCTGTTTGGCAAAACAAGAGAACCATTCTTTAGGTCAATTATCAGACCTAACCACACGGTCTCTGAAACCGGGTCCCAAGTACTCTTTTGTACATTAGGTACGAACCCCGCATTGACCAGGTCAACTTTAACTTGAGCACTGTGCTCTCTGGCTTTCTGAAAGCTCTCTGCATAACACAAACCATCGTCTAGGAACACAACTATTTGTTTACCTTCACTTCTCCACTTCTGTACAAGTGGTCTCACCACTTTAGTGAAAACGTATGGGGCAGTGGATAAACCAAATGGTAATACAGTAAACTTGAAGAATGTAAAGGCACCTTTGTAAAACCAGGAAAATCCCAAGTACTGTTGATGTTCTGGACGAATGCTAATATGGTGGTATCCCGATTTTAGGTCAAACTGGAACATAAACCCCCCTTTTGAAGATATAACATCGCTGTACGCATATCTTCGTACTTGACAGATAGCTTCCATAAAAACCTGTTCACTTCTCTCAAATCTAGTATTAATCTCCTCTTGCCTGATTTTTGTACTGAAACTGACAAAGGATTCACTATGTATGGTTGTTCTGTGCAAGGCAAGACGCAGTGCGCCTCTAATAAATCTGAAATTGCATTTGTGACAAATTCGCTATTATTGATGGCTGAGCGATTATTCAACCCTTGTTTGGATTTCTCAACATTCGGCGTGTGTGGTGGTGTTTCATAAAACGGAATCATGTATCCGTTGCTAATTATGTCTAATACATAGGAATTGGCATTAATTGCTCTCCAAAAATCATAATGATGATGTAAACGACCAGCCACTTGAATTTTGCAACCTGTGGAACACCTTTCTTCATACTCAAAGAAATTATCGGTAAAGTAACATAACTCAACTTCATTGATCGTGTTAGACTTGCTTGCTGCGGTGTCCTTGCTAGGTGGAGAAACTTGGGGTGTTGCTCTTGTCTTGCCTTCTACTGATGTTTGGACAGGATTTTCTCCAGTGACCTTGGCTTCCGCAAGCGTAGCAGATGTCTTTGCTGGTTGGGAATCGTTGGCCACGAAAAAACTGGAATTGAGAAGCAGGAGCGACAGAAGTAGTAGCGGGAGCAGGAGTCTGGTAGTGGTAGTCACCGGTCTTGAATCTCTTGGCCCCGGCAGACTTCTTACTGGACGCCGCTTTAAGCTTTCTGGCCGCCCTGTCTTCTGCCCTTGTGATCTTCTTGTCATCACCGGAGTCGTTGGCCAACTCGTTATTCTCGTATTCTTCGACTGTTGCCCAGCCAGAGGGGCTGGTATCGGCTAGTCGGATTAGCTTTTGACGATGCTCGAGCAGAGCTTTAATACTGGTTAGCTCTTGCTGCACTTCAGTGGACTGGTTTTTGCGTTCAGCTTCTACGACGTGATCCAATACAGACTGATTAAAGTTATATTGTCGTTTATGGCCTTCCCTTTTCCAGGTTAATTTGACGCTAGTGGCGGATTTGAGCTTCGTATCAAAATTGGCAGAAGCTTCAGCTATCTTGTCTTCCAGTATCTTAGCTTGACTAGATGAGAATTGAGCCAATAGCTCCTGAATGTCCTCTTTCGTAGCTGGAGTTGATGACATGTTTAAAGTGTTGAAAATGGCGACAGCTCTAAAAAATAACGTGTGTTGCGTTGCTGCTAGCAAGCGTGAAGTGACGCGTTTCTCCGCTAGCATCACATACCACTACCTATTCAAAATTCCCGCTCTGACCATCGAACCATACAATCATTAGCATATCAATGATAAATTCGATGCATTCTTATTCATTCTGGACTCAACCGAATACATCAACATTTTTGTTGTGCAGAGAAAATATAGCGGGACCCCAGACATCGCACGGGTACACGCGCGTCCGTGTGGCCACGTGGTAGTAGGTCAAGGACATAGGCCCCTATACACTCTGCAGCAGTACATTCAATATCGTAGTACGCATTTATAAATAAGTGTGTTGTGCTGATGATGATCATGATGGAGCCCGTAAATGAAGATCAACAGTAAGCTAAAGTTGAAATTGATGTCGTAAAAAATAGAACTTATGCTATGGGCTGGAGTAGAGCAAGGAACGTTAATTGGGAGAGAATGTAGCCTCCGCATTCCACTATAGTCTAGACGCCACGTGGTTGTCAAACTATGTACACTATCATGGAGGCATGCTCGGAGCATGGGGTCGGCGAAATTGGAAATCTTATAGCTGTAGGCTCATTTCTTTTTCAAGATGTTTGCAATGAGTGACCTAGCTTCGTTGAGTTAATAATGAAAAAAGTGGGGTCCTTATGAGCTAGTTTTCCAGTAGTTATATTTCCTAGTTTGATTTTGTGTGAACTATAGGCCTATATAGCTAGGCCTGGGCGAGTAGTGGATTTTTCTACTCGAGTACGGAACTTTCAAAGTAAGTCGCAAGTATAAATAACCGTATTTCCAAAAATGGTGGAATCAAATTTAAAGTCAAATTGAACAGTGTTCATGCTTTCAGTTTGTGTATTGAATAAGTTCATACTAGGAGAATTAAAAACAGCTATATAGTCATTATCATTTTCCTCTTGAATAATTGTAACTGTTGAAAATAAACACACCAGTTGAAAAGTAAGAGTAAGTGTAACTAACTGATTTAATGTGAATGGATTATTATTGAATTTTGCATTTTTTTTCCGATTAGAGTTGATGAAATCTTTACTCGATTTTGGGAAGATGGCATGAGGGCATATGGAACTTCAGAGCGAGCGAGAGTTCAAAAAGCAAGTAAAGAGACCGGTGTGTCTGTGACCTATGTGAAGGTAAATACACTGCATACGTGTGTGCAGCATGTGCTTTTTTTATTACATTGTATGTAAATAAAAATGTACATTTTAGTTGCCAAACCGAAAAATCGACATCTTTTCAAGTTTTAATGATTGAAAGAAGTCTACCATTTCACTAAATTACCCAATTTGGATAATCCAATTCTTGCTGATGAACTTGTTATTGCTCAGAAAGGGCAGTCAGGTTGGCGTAGCGATACTTTCCTCGCCTTCCACCGCTGTGACCCGTTCGAACCCTGCCTGGGCCAACATGTGGATTGGGTTTTTAGTCCCTACCTAATTCCGTGGGTCTTCCCCAGAATATCCTGTAGAGAAAGAAATTCAATCGGTAAATGAAACACTGCTTTAGCATTTTCCCATTGTAACCTAATTTTTTTGTTCACAAATAATTACCGTTCACACAATCCCTGTGACTATGATCTGGTGCACGGTACCCTGTGGAGACATGTACATGATAGGGAACAAAAGATTGTATTATACGTCTCCGAGATCCACAGGGCAATTTAGATGAATACGTCTCCACAGGGTTATCACGCAATAGATGTGTGGATTTTACTCAAAAACTAAGAATTTCCAATGTGTGTTGATCTGTATGTTGCAAATTAAAGTTTTTATGTAAGGGAGATTGAGTCGGAATGTCAGCCAATTAAATTAATTGCGGTCAAAATAGGAGCATTTTGTAACTACTCTTTCAAACTCTAAACTTTTAGTTCACGAGAACAAAGAATTGACTCCACAAAGATACAAATTTCAGTGTGTGTGTAGTATGTATGTGCAGCTTAATTTATTCCGTAATTAACTTCTCAAGAGGTAACATAATAGATCCTTGCTAGTATATGCAACAGACAACAATGTGACCTTTTTTATGGCAGAGATAATAGGCGCTGAAGACATTTCGATCTTGAGAGAACAGGTGCAGTCGATATTTAACGCCAAATATAGTAAGTTTTATTACATTTTAAAATAACGAGGAAGTTTTATTTTGGCTTAGGTTCACAGTTGGCATGGCATCATGCAATAAATCTTTCAATAAAGGAACCAGGCAGTGCACTGTTTGTCTTCTGTCTGCGTCCGAATATGTATTGTGTTAAGGTATGCTATTTTTGTATGTACTAAGGGCCCTACCACGTATGACTATTCAATATTGTTCATTGTTACATCCCTTCTCTCGGTTTGGGCTCAATGAACATGCCTGTCTGGGGCCCATGCTTAAAAGCTTTGCTTCTTAACTGGCTCATCTGCAGTGTCTTTAAGATATCACTTTCTATGGTATATGTATCTGTAGATTGTTGTAAATGAATGAATCTTGAACCTATGAATGTGTGTGCAAACCTATGTGACTGATGAGTGCCAGTTGTTACTTTCATTAGATTCCTCCTCGTTATAAATTTTATAACATGTATTTTATGCTAATATTTTAACACATTGAATCCATTTGTGTTTTGTGGTAGAGAAGCAACAGGGCAAAAGAAAATGACATACAAACGCCTGTCGGAAATTAACGTTGTGGGTCTGCCGGAAGATATGGTGTTAAAGCGGCCTTCTGCTTATGGGAAAAAGAGCCTCAAGAGGATCATTCAAGCGAAAGATAAGATTCAGTTCTTTCATCCTGAACATGCAGAACGGTGAGAGAGGAAACAGTTACAAAACCAATAGACTTGGTGAAACGTAAATAGTACGTCTTAGTCAAATGTGTCGTGATACCTGCTTGAATACGATTTTGTTTATAAGCTTATGATCTTTCGCCTAAAGATTGGTTTGTGTACCGCTGATCTCATTTACACACACAAAAATGGATAGCATACGGAGAATGCAGATAGAAGAACGGAATTTGAAGCTATTCTATACATGTATTGGGGAGACTGGAAGGTGTTTTATACAGGATAAGTTGCAGTCTTAGGCAGTTGTGATTCACGGTACATTGTGGTTCACTTTTACCTTTTGGCCAGCTTCACCACTAGCCTGGCCACAAGTCACAATTTTTCAAAGGTCATGGTTCACTTTAGAACGCTGTAGTTCACTTTCTGCGGCGTTTGGGAATATAATTGCGACATAAACTTGTCCTTTATAGAACATCAAAATAATACGAGTACGTTGTAGCCGTGTCCTTTGCAATAATTCGGCTGCTCAGATGCGAGTGATTTTAGCCTCCCAAGTTATTATTATTGTATGTACCTGTACTCAAGGGGCTGGTAATTACGTGTATTTTTAAAGACAGGTAATATAAATGAAGTTTGTGGGAAATATGAGACGTGTAACAGCTGCGTAAACGGTATACAAGGTGCTGCGGCGCATATTGCAGCCAATGCCAGAAACACCATGCAAACCCCGTCTCTTAGCTATAAGTCTTGCCTGTGTTTTTTGTGGGTTTTTTTTCATTCATATTTGGTTTGTGCAGCTTTAAAGGTACAAACCATCATTTGTAATTGGTGCATTTTGTTCGTTTGAAGCAACACAAGTGCTCAAAATCTAAAGGAAGTGTGCTGAACAACTATTAAACCTGATGAAGTTTGAGCTCGTCTATTGTGTTTTTTTTTTCATTCATAGCCACTTTCCAGCAGTATTTATAGACCCACTAGCTCCTGTAGCCCCTGTGGCCCCTGTGGATGTTGTCGTCAAACAAGAAGTGCCACATCCTGGAATGCCAAGAATCAGTGAGGCTTACTTAGATTCAAGTTCTTCTTGGCCCACAGTTGTCAGATAATGGGTCAAATACTTTGACTTTGACTTTGACCATGCAAACCCCGTCTCTTAGCTATAAGTCTTACTGGGTTCTTTAAAACCCTCCGACGCAGAAAGCCCATTTAGTAACACACTTACAGTAAGGGGTCCCCTGGGGACCCAAATATTTAGCGCCACGGTTTGAGGCTACACAACACTGTATCCACATGAACACAATCTTGCCATATCTGTAGACTAAGGAGGTGTATTTGTATACATAGTCTGTGGTCAAGCCGTGCACTGTCTACTCGCAAGTGAACTTGTTTGTGCACGTGTATATGGTGGGTCCCCGGGTGGGCAGAAATTGCGTCGGAGTTGTTTTGTGCGCGTGTATATGGTGGGTCCCCGGATGGGCAGAAATTGCGTCGGTCCTTAGCCCAGGTTGTCATGCTCAGATATGCCTGACCCGGGGTCACACACTAAAGGTGACTGCATATATCCGTAGAGGGTGCCTCTTGCTAGGATTAGATGGAAGATCACCAGAATTGGTTTGAATTTTTTTTTGTAATTAAGGTAATTAACCAAATTGGGTCCCCAAAAGGGCTAGATTCTGCGCCGGAGGGTTAAGCATACCACAACACACGGGACCTATGGCTTTACGTCCCATCGGAAGGACGAAGCAATAATGGTAAAGTGCCTTGCTCAAGAGCACAAGCACCATGTTCTCCATCAGGATTCGAACCCATGTACCACGGCACACGAGTCAAACACCGTATTATTACCATTGGACCACAGCCCTCACAAAGTTAACACCTATATGTATTGTATGGGAAGTTTACTTATTTGTTTTTGGTTTGTGCAGCTTTAAAGGTACAAACCATCATTTGTAATTGGTGCATTTTGTTCGTTTGAAGCAACACAAGTGCTCAAAATCTAAAGGAAGTGTGCTGAACAACTATTAAACCTGATGAAGTTTGAGATCGTCTATTGTGTTTTTTTTTTCATTCATAGCCACTTTCCAGCAGTATTTATAGACCCACTAGCTCCTGTAGCCCCTGTGGCCCCTGTGGATGTTGTCGTCAAACAAGAAGTGCCACATCCTGGAATGCCAAGAATCAGTGAGGCTTACTTAGATTCAAGTTCTTCTTGGCCCACAGTTGTCAGATAATGGGTCAAATACTTTGACTTGTTGTCAATTAACAGTGGTCCATTAACAACAGTTATTCCCTAACCAGGTCATTATCACACAGTGAAGACTGGGTCTGTTACTCCCTACTTAGTAAATGAAATGTACACTATATCTACACTATAGGTGCTGATGGAACGAAGGATGGTAAAACTTTGCACTCCTTTTTATCTTCTCCAGAAAACTCTGCAAGGGATCTTGATCAGTCTCAAAATACTGGGCAGGATTTTGCCGTGGAAACTACACACAAAGACCAAAAGCCAGGTAAGACTCAATTCCCCATTGCATTATCGAAATTTTGTGGACAATGCTGTACATTTTTGCATTCATGTCATGCATGCCAAAGGAGAAAAACTACGGACCAAAATCAAAGGTGACAGCCGTTTGAATCTGGGTAAAGTCATTGACTGTATTCATGCATGAAATATATCACACGAACAAATAAATTTGTCACCTAAATCTGTGTACAATGCTTATCTGTTTATGAGGCCACAAAAAAAATGGAACAGACGAAATAAACTTCTGTTGAGAGACTCTGAGGATTGTTCAGTCATTCATCCTGTGACCATATAGTCATTAACGTGACGTGACAGTCGATTGGCCACATCAGGTGTAAGTGTTTCTAGCAGCTTTCCGAGTTTCACTTTTATCTTGTTAATCCTTTTGTCAACAAACTGGCCCCTGTTATCAGATACTGCTGCTAATCCCCTGCACTTGTCAATATCAGCTGTGTGACAGCACATGTGGCTTTATTACACTAGGTATTAGGGATTATAAAGCTACTGTTTGGACAAAGGATTAAGATAGATTAGAGGGCTGGCCAGTTTACAGTTAGATCGACTGTTTTCTCTCAGAAGTTTCTAGTGGAGGTTACTCGCAATGTGAGTCAGGGATCTCCGTAGCTTTGTGCCCTCAGTCATGCAGGGTAAAGGGGCATGATATAGTCCATGCCTTCTTTTTTTTTGTCGGCCTCTGTGACATCTGCCCACCACTGCTCCCTGTAGGCTGTTCTTGGACAAGGACCAAGTCCTAGTGCAACACATGTCTGAACTAAGCGACCTTGCAGCAAATGGACAACTGGAATATAGTTGTCTCGATGACTTCTATCCCTTCACATTTTAATAGCTCTACTAGAACATTATCCTATTCACATGTGATCCCCAGTATCACATTCCCATATTCTCTGTGGTAGTATTGTCCAGTATACTGGTGTCTGGTCGAAGCTCATAATTGCACAGTTCTTTAACTGCACCCTCTTCTGTGAGGATGGAGCAGTTCTTATCCTCTGTAACTGTAGCCTAGGCTGCTGTGATCTTGTTACTGCATGTCTTCAGTGTGTCAAGGGTGGGCGTGTACAACTAATGCGACTAGGCAAGAGTCGCCAATACTTCAAGAAGCACTTGTGTAAAAAGCAGCATGCTCTGATGATCTATGCCCCGTTGTACATGTAATACTGGGGCAGGTGCTGGATAATGTGGTTACTCACTAAAATAGTTCTTACCCGCACAGAACTTAAAATGCAAATCAAATTTCTCAGGAAAAAGCGACAAATCCTTGAGAAATTTATAGAAAATGTCAAGAAAGTTTATACCCCTGTACATGATAAATGGACCGCTTTTGCTTCTTTTAACAGGCCCATTTATGTGCACGTAAACGTATATTTGAATTTATTAGTAAAAAGTCCATTAGCCAAAAGGTATTACTGGATAAATAATAATGTGCTACTGGTCACGACTTTATATCTCAACAAGTCGTGATTATTGAAATTCACTTGTCGCCAACGCCTAGAAGGGCCACCTTTTCTTGCTGTTACCTTCTTTCATTCTTGCTTCATATGTTGTCGCATTAGTCAGACATCCATCATCACCTCCTTCATTTCCTGCCTGATGTTCCTGTTTGGGATCCACTTTTTGGGGTCTTTTGTGGTCTTTATGGGTTCCTTCTCATGTCAGATAGTTCTAGGAGGTTGCTTGATATTGTTACTGCCATGCAACTCTACATCTGAATCATGAAGTGCCTGCGTGATATGATATGAGCTCTGTCTGTGCTGACTTTTACATAGCAACAACGTCCAATGGCCGGGACATTTCGTCGGTTGACGGGCACCATTCCCTATGTGTGACGCACGTACACCAGGGTAGTTGTGCTATGTACAGGCAGTGGCCGCGCTTCACGGCAAATTAATTGCAGTCGGGCAAGATGGCGTCAGTCGGTCACCCCCAACTGTACTCTCTTTTCCAGTGTCGGGGTACTTGTGAACGGAGCGGATAGGTGAGGGACTTGATGCTGAACAGGCTGGGTGCAGTAAACCTTCCACCTTCATTCGCCTGTCGCTGCAATCCCAGGGTATTTCCTGGTTGAATCTTGTTTATAATCCTGCAATTATGGGCGCAGTGGGTCTATCGCAGCTATTGCTCTGAACAATCAGATATCCACTAACTCGGACCATTATTTCTAAAGACTCTGCTTTCTGTACTGTGTACATTTCAAAGTCTATCAGAAACGATTTTTATTTTTTCTTTGTGTGAATTTCTCAGAATTCCCACGACGTCAACTAGACACAGAGAGCTTGTTTGAAGAGCTGGGGAATAACAGAGCTCTAGTAAAGGTGAAGAGGATGAGTGTTTGTTGGTACTCATCAGCCGCAACAAGTCTCCAAGAGACGATAATGGTTATGATGACGCAGCTCAGAAGAAAATAATTTCATAGTTGGAAGCTGCTTGGGAAGATATGAATGATGCAGAGGATGAGTCAGTCGGAGGCAGGACTTTGTGGCGAGAGCTCCTGACTACCTGAAATTTCACCAGTGTAAATTGAGAGTTCACTAGTGAAAGACTAGCTCTCCATGACAAAATCCCACATCATGCAGAGCTCAGGGAGTAAAGAAGCTCCATCAGTCTCAGGAAGGACAGGAAAAGGTCTACATGTGTAGCTTCGGTGACTAAGTCAGAAAACGTCAAGTGTCTAATCATTGAGCATGACTTGATAGGCTTATTAAGCACACATGCGGGCGAGAGACCATTTTCTTGCAACTGTGCCAAAGCATTCCCTGTTATTGCGACTTTAAGAAAGCACCAGAGGTTTCATTGCATACAAAGGGTTCAAACTGATTCGATGCTACTAATTCTCAATAGATTTGATAAAGATTATTTCCACAAGGTCACTCATTGTTGTGTAAAGCCCAGTAGTATGAACGGGCACTAATGTGCCCCTTTATAGCGCTGATGATGGTGGAGTATTTGTGTTTGTGTTGGAGGTGGGGTTTTCTGGAAAAGTACAGTTTGATGTACGCGTTCACCTCTTCCGGACATTACCCCATAATTGAAATACATCACAGCGGTTTGAGCTATACCCATGTTCAGGTCACAAGTGCTTTATGGTTGCGGCCTGGTAACTGCGTGCTATCGCCTTTACGCTTTCAAAATCAGAGTCCTCTTTCTCAAGTGTGAGTTTATGGCAACTGACGCCCTGACTCTTTCTCCTGAGGTTAGAAACCCTCATAAGCTTGCATTTTATCAAAACAAATACATGTATAAAGAAATTGGACCGGAAGTCACTCTCCTTGTCATCAGATTCAAGATCCTCATATCGGGAATGTAATCTTTAAAAGATGATCATCTTTGTGAAGAAAAAGTAATCCAAAAGTCGAGGGATGGCCAAAAAGTTAACAAAAGCTTCAAAAACGAACAAAAACCAGTTATATTTTGATGCCTATTTTGAACACCTTGGAGACTTGTTTCTTTTTATCATTGTCTGCGACAAATTATGGTATAGACTATGGCGTCCTCTCTAATATTGTTAAATAATTGTATAATACGTTAATATTGAAACAATGCAGTTCTGCTTTTGACATATCGTGGATAGTTTGTACAGTGTGTAGTAAGGTTGATACTGGTATCCGTCGGGCCTCGAGTGTCGACAGAGGTGTTGAGGTGACATGTAACCAGGGAACTCATATCTGCTCATTTGTGATTTCTGATCGTAGATTTCTAGATCTGATCATACATATTAGCACCCTCAACATTTCACACGGTAATACATGTATGAACTAATAGCAGACATGCCATTATCTATTATGGTCTCTCAATTTATTAAGTTCCAGGATTAATATCAATGCAAGAATGCATATGCTTGGTTAATTTCAAATTCCTTATTCTACAAGACCATCAAAAATACTTCAAACAAGAGGTATCAGTACATTTACAATTAGGGATCTTAAAAGAGTGTTATTAACATTAATCAAAGATTAACAATATAAAAATGATCTCATGTCTGTCATTTCTGTTGCAACAAAATGGGCGTGTACAGGTGTGTTAATACAAAAGAAGTATCGCCACATTTTCAATTAAGGAACTTCAAAGAGCGTTAATAAAATTAATCAAAGGTAAACAATATAAAAATGATCCAATTTCAGTTATTTATGTTAAGAAGATCGTGTTTAGAGGTGCGTTTAACAAAAGCAAAATTGTTTGTGTCTCAAAACTATAGCTAATTGCTAGTTTTACTGTGTCAAGATATTGGTATCATTGACTTCATTAATTAGTACTTCATTAATTGATACTTAAAACTTTCCATTTGTATTAAAATCGTCAATGTACATGTTTATTGGTGTCTTTACACCCACATTTTTTGTTCGTCTTTGTTAAGATAGATTCGCTCCTGAACATTTCTGACAATTTTAAATAGTTGTAACAACTTCATAGTTCGATCTCTGAATGCTGCAATTTGGCAAAACGCAGCTTAGACGAATTCGATCGGTAATGACGAATATTCTCGACCCAGTGACTAAAGAGTATGACCAAACTTTGAAATTGAACGGTAAATGACTAAATTGGTTTTCTCAGTTAAAAGCGTGTGACATTTTTCGTGGACGAAATTGAATGATATAGTTGGTGAATTTCAAAGAAAAGTCTTTCAAAATGGCCACGAAAACCTAATATTAAACATTAAGTCGCTTTTAAAGAACCTCATTTCCTCACGTCGATATACAATTTTGATTTTAAGTTTTCAAATGTGGGATCATCTTGCACATTGATGATTTGTTTGTTACATTTTCAAACTACATGTATTTTGTTCCTCTATTAATCACTCCAAATGAGCCTGGTGTTCCAATGAAATTGTACAAAAAGCGAAAATGACTTGTGATTTATAGATCATTATAAATAATGACTGATTAGAGTTAATACATCGTATATTTGAATTTAACGTTAATTATAACTTAATGTTTTAAGTTTATTGCCAGCAGTCATTTCCCCCTTTCTAGGATCCGATCTTATTACACACCATTGAGCTAAATTGCTTTGTTGGATGACCATTTCAAATCCACATAGTTTCCTGCAATTTTGTTTCAAACTTTACGATATATCTTGATTGAGTTCTGGTCAGCCACTGCCATCTGCCCATCTGCTGTGAAAGCGATTCTAGTTGGGTTATACAGACCCTGAGCCACGCAATCAAGAAACCTGCCATCGAGGTCATAGTGGTGAATATGAGCAGTGTACATGTTTACACGCGAACATGCACCAACATAGATCCCAGAGCTATCACTCACTACACCTCCGCACCCTAATCCTGATTGTCCGTCTATTCTGGGTGTTATGGTGAATAATGTAACGCCATTTCCATCAGTAACTTCCACGCTCCCATGCGACCCACAACTGATGAAAACTCGACCTTTGCTGTCGGCAGCAAGACGATGAGGGATAATATTTGTCGGTATGGTGCGTAGGAGCTTACCATCACTGGGTCTGTGTTCATTATACAGATGAGTTATGTTGAAACCCACCAGGATAGTTCCATCCTTCTTGATTGCTACAGTTGCGGCGGAAGGAGGAGAGTGGACCCCAATTGGCACAGTCGTGAACTGGTATGCCAGTGTGTTGTCGCTGTTGAATACTTTCACTTCGGGAGCTGGCAGACAGTGGCAATTCAATACAACCAAACGATTGTGAATGTCATCAAATGCAATTTCTATCCTTGGACCTGAAAGTAAAGACGCAATAGTTCTGTTAATAAATGTGGGCCGACTAGACATTAGATATCACGCGTGACTGGGTAATTCTCCCAATTATATAGCTAGCAGTAGGCCCATCAGATTTCATAGTCTTTCCGGTGCCTTATACAATGTGAAGTATGTACAATGTTGATCTTTTTGGAGTCAAATGTTGTGACGTCATCAAACCCGAATTGTATGTCAAATATTGTCCAATATGAGGACACATGCTCAAAAACGACGACCTTTAATCTTTTTGACCTTTAAAAAAAAACAAAATCAGCTAAAACTGATAATTGCTCACTGGAGCAGCCTTTAAACAAGAAGTACAACAGGCCTTTGACAAGGCCATTCGTGCAGAACCAAGCGGCAAAGTATTTGATGAGCGGCTTGAAGAAAGACTACGCGAGTAGGCCAATGAGCTGTTCTCCTTTGATGTGGCTGGTTCGCTTTTGAATGATTCGAAATCGTTACACTTAAAGCGTTTGTTTTAATGTTAACTTTAAAATGGAAATATGTGAGAAAGGGCGTTTGTTATTCAACCGAAAAGAGCTTTCCTTTCAAACTTGTTACAATAAGAAGTTCAATGTACTACTTGCTAGCAAATCAATGAAAGGAAAAGACATGTACTCAAACGAGTCTTGGTTGTATTATTTGCAAGCCTACTCACCACGGTGGAATTTCATTGGGCTTTCCTGTTTATCATCGGGGTTGTACATTTCAATTCCTTTTTTGTAATGGCGAAGCACCAGAATGTCATTGTGACGGATAGCGACGTCCGAGTGCGCAAGAGTCTTTGGCTTCTTAATCTCACGAGCCAGCTCCCAATGACCTCCTTGACTGCTGACCTGTAATGCAAGCCGATGACAAAGCAATGTCGTTGAAAGACCGAGGGTTGTGCCACATATACCAATTGTGATGGGATCAAGCTAAATGAGTCGTTTGTCGGGAATTTTCATTTGGAGTTACAGGCCAAAATAGGGCCACTTCATCACATTACTTCGTCACATTTCTTGGTGTTCCGACTTCCACAATCAGTGAACTAAAGATGGCATCAGCACGCGGTTTTCACATCAGTAATGCTGAGATCGTGTCTTTTCAAATCTAAAAAAAAACACGAAATGACCGGGGTTGACTAAGGACTCATGTAGCTTGATCGCATAACAATTAGTCGTACATGTATATTTGACTGGATATACCGAAGCGCATACTCATTCGCATAATACGTTGTCAATTTGAGAAACGCCCTTGTTTGTTGAGGGATTCATGGGAGCAGGTGTTCTTTCTCACCTGTTGTCTGATTTTAGATCCTCCACGCTTGCCACGCCTAGAGCCTGGCTTGCTAGGACCGGGTGCACTTGACTCCTCTGTGATCGTCTCTTGAGCTGAAGGCTCTGCCATTTCCTCCTGAAACAAAATACCCACTGACTTCATGAAAACATAATCATTAACAGTGTGACACAGTGCTATCTAATTCGAAGCGTTGCTGTTGATGTTCTTCGCTAATATCAAGAAAATGATTGTATTTCAAATTAGATGAAGCAGTACAGTGACCGTTGTTTAATTATTAATTCGAGTTCAAATATTATATTCTTAATTAAGATTCTAGATTGTCTCTGAGAGATATGTAACTACATTTTCTTGAAAAAAAAATCATGTAAAAGATCTGTCCAATCCAGGGTAATTCTCTTCCGGTGACTTACTTGTTGGCTGATTCCCTCACCCTTGCAACGTCTAGATCTCTTGGGACGCATGGTGGGACCCGGTCTTGGTTCGTCTTCCAACGACTTTACAGTTGAACTCTTCGCTTTTCTAGTTGTCATTTCTTCCTAAAGAAAAAAATGATAGTATTTCAAATTGAATCAAGCAGTGACTGGTGTTAAATTAGTTCGAGTTCTTAGAGTTTATTCTTTACTAACATTTAGGTATTTTTATATTGAAAAACAGCTCTCAAAAGTACCTTTTGCACTCATTTCATGACAGATACAATAGTCGTTTTTATTTCATCACACCTTAGCCTACATATACCCGAAAAATGACGGAAATGTCTTCGAGCATTCCACAACCTCTTTAAGGAGACACGTTATAGTAATTTCTTTGCACGATGGGAGACATCGGTCATTAGGGAGACATTTTCATGTCTCCCTAATGTCACTGCTCCCATTTAGAGGCACAATTTTAGCATCGCAAATTGATTATATTGGTTGCTCTTGGTCTAATTAGTAAACATACCGAAATTCGTGGGGAAAAAAGACATGAGAATATTGGGTTAGGGCACATTTAAGTTTGAAAAATTTTGCGCATAAGTCTATGGGGATGTCTCCCAAATGTCCAATCCAGGGTAATTCTCTACCGGTGACTTACTTGTTGGCTGATACCTTCACCCTTGCAACGTCTTGGTCTCTTGGGACGCATGGTGGAACCCGGTGTTGGTTCATCTTCCAACGACTTTACAGTTGAACTCTTCGCTTTTCGAGTTGTCATTTTTTCCTGAAGAAAATGATAGTATTTCAAATTGAATCAAGCAGTGACTGGTGTTAAATTAGTTCGAGTTCTTAGAGTTTATTCTTAATAACATTTAGGTATTTTTCTTGTCTCCGAGAGATATATTGCTACATTTTCCTTGGACCATTTCAATCTGTAAAAGATGGTAGGAATCTTCATTGTGCTGTTTAAAACAAAACGATATCTAGGTGTTTCTCTCTGTATCATACTCGTGGTTTGATTCCTCCACGCTTGGCACGTCTCTTGCCAGGCATGCTTGGTTCGACTTGGTGTTCTTTTATCTCCAAATCGTATGAATTGAGGCAAGTCTGCAGGTAAAGGGCAGACACTTATTCATCAGTTATGAAATGAAATAGCGGTTTTAGTGCGATTGTGGCGCTATAATGAGAGTTTAGCCAGAACTTGTACCAATTGGAAGCATCGGAAATGCCGGAATGTAAAACCAGTGTAAACACTTTGGCTTATAACATGCATCAAGAGCGAGATCTTCCAAAAAGAATTCGTGAATTAGAGATCAACATTTCTTATTTGCATATCATTTTCCAAGAGACTCTCTGATCTGAAATATTAGCTGTAATGTAGTCTGAGAAAAAAAGCTAGCCATGAAAACATGTGTTATAAAATTCTGCTATCAAAATTGAACAGCCTCATGCATTCAGTATTCAGAATTGCCACATTATTATCTGGCAATATAAATTCAGTGTATCATGACTTCAGTTCATAATGGTGGCATATTATTGATGTTCTCGCAATAGGCTCGATCTTCCCTTTTCCAAACCCCTTTTCTAAGCGCTGATTGCTCCTTTCACTGTTTGCAAACGACATCAGGGAATTTACGGCATATGAGGGGACCTGGGGTCAATTTCACGGCGCTGCTTTGCAGAAACAAAATATGTTTCGCACAAAAAGTATGATTTATAAAGGCACGTTACCAGCCAAAACTCCATGTGATTTCCATGCTAAGCAAGTAGTAGCTGAATATCAATCACAAGCAATATACATGTATTTCACATGGAGTTTTGGCGGGAAACCTGCTTTAATTAGTATGGGTCCGCTCATAAGTCCGACGCCTCATAGCTCCGACGCCTCATAGCTCCGACGCCTCGGAGGTACGACACCTTGAACGCTTCGTTTATACGACGTCGGACTTATGAGGCGTCGGACTTATGACTTATGAGGCGTCGGACTTATGAGGCGTCGGGCCAATGAGGCGGAATAAATAAATGTTATGCCTCATAAGTCTGACGCCTCATAATGCCGAAATTTTGGACTTATGAGGCGTCGGACGTATGAGGCGTCGGACTTTTGATACGGCCCCTTTAGTAAGCCATACTGTTTTGTGCTAAGCAAATTTGTGTGCTTATTAGTAATTCCATGAAATTGACCCCTGCTATGTACATGTCGTTAGCGCGGAGGCTAAATTACAGCTAGGTAATAATTTTAATTTACCCTATTACAGGTGTTTTTGTAGGCTTACCTGTATGGTTTGTTGGCCAGCCACAAAAAGAATTTCTCCTCTCGATCTATTCAACAGCAGTTGAATTTAACTTCGTGCAGTGTGCGGGTACCAGGCAAAATGGCGCTTGGCATACAACGTATCGTCGTATGATCTGATGGCGCGTCCATAGTTAAAAATTAAACCCATTGAACTTTGTATATCAATAAGAACCTGTGAACTGCATTCACAGCACGCAGGCAACGAATTGTACCTTATCTTTGACCTTAACCTTTTCAAAGTTTGTTATTTAAAGCTCACAAGATATGCATCTATGTGCATGCAGTTGCAGCTCATATATATACCCGTGTGAAATTGCATGTACGTCGTGAGAGAGTACAATGAGGCCTTTACCGCTAGGTTATCACTAGCAAGCGTCCCTTGAGCTGAGCTTTCTCAGAAATTATGATGAAATTCAACAAAAAATCGCTCTCATTTTCTTTAATCAAAATGGTTGTGAGCTTCATATCGGGACTGCATTTGAAAGGCCACAATGTGTGTGATGAACCTATAGCTCAGGGGCAAGGGTTGCCCAAAATTGAAGAACAAAATGATGAATGAACAAAAGCGAGCATTATTGAGATCTGCTTTGAACACTTTGTATATTTTGTCATCATCGTCACTGACATTTTATAAAGTGTGGTAGGTATAATTATGCGTCTTCTCTTTTTCGACGCACTAAATATCATTCTTTGCCCAAAACAAATTAGTGCTGCTTTTGACATATCGTGGGTCCCACGGCCAATCGGTAATAGGTGCTTGTAGTTTGTATTGAGGTTGCTTCGCTGGTATCCGTCCGGTCTCGTGTGTCGACAGCAGAACGTTAAGATTACATTTAACAAGTGACCTCCGATTTTCTCGTCTGCAATTTCTGATCACAAATTCATGTATTATCACACTTAATATGCAATGAACTAATAGCAATCATATCTATGATGGTTTCTAAATTGATGTGAATTCCATGATCATTAAAAATATAGAATTTCTGTCCCTGTATGGTGAATGAGATCAAGTTACTCATTTCACATAACTAAAATAACGAATTATCAGTGGATGATGTACATACCGCAGTGTCAATGAAAAAAAGATCGACAATATAGAATAATCACATTTCTTGCATTTGAGTTGTAAGGATAATCGTGTTTACAAGTATGTAAAAGTACAACTAAAATTTGTGTGTCGCTTCAAACTATAAACTTCTAGAACGTGAGCTGTATGTATGTGTTTTGCTTACTGTGACACATGATGGTGTTGACATCAGTAACTTCGCGTAGCAAATTGAGGCAGTCTCTATCAAGATAACTTATTTGAAGCCAAGCAAATCCACTAACAACAACATGACTATAGTGATTGATGACAAACATGGAATGGCCATATTTTTGACACAACAATTTGCTTAATCACATTTGTATTTAATTGAGCAACATACCAACTATAAGCTGCATTCAAATCATTCACACAGCTTTAACGAATAATGTGGCTGTATGCAGTAAATAATAAAACTCATTTTTTTTAAAGAAAGACTTGACTGTTTTTCCGAACTTGTCTTTTCAAAATGAATGTCTATGAACGAGGGAATTTACAAAGCTGTATCAATGTAAACCGCACATTGTACTGATATTATACTATCAAACATTGTTTCTGTACATTGACTAAGTTATTGGTTGTTTTCTAAATGACTTGTATTGTAATTATATGAAATATAATGAATATAATTACAATTGGACCGGAAGTCACTCTCCTTGGTATCAGATTCAAGATCCTCATATCGGGAATGTAATCTTTAAAAGATGATCATCTTTGTGAAGAAAAAATAATCCAAACGTCGAGGGATTGCCAAAAAGTTGACAAAAGCTTCAAACAGGAACAAAACCAGTTTTATGTTGATTTCAAATTCCTTATTCTACAAGATCTTCAAAAATACTTCAAACAAGAGGTATCAGTACATTTACAATTAGGGAACTTAAAAGCGTGTTATTAACATTAATCAAAGATTAACAATATAAAAATGATCTCATGTCTGTCATTTCTGTTGCAACAAAATGGGCGTGTACAGGTGTGTTAATACAAAAGAAGTATCGCCACATTTTCAATTAAGGAACTTAAAAGAGCGTTAATAAAAATAATCAAAGGTAAACAATATAAAAATGATCCAATTTCAGTTATTTATGTTAAGAAGATCGTGTTTAGAAGTGCGTTTAACAAAAGCAAAATTGTATGTGTCTCAAAACTATAGCTAATTGCTAGTTTTACTGTGTCAAGATATTGGTATCATTGACTTCATTACTTAGTACTTCATTAATTGATACTTAAAACTTTCCATTTGTATTAAAATCGTCAATGTACATGTTTATTGGTGTCGTTACACCCACATTTGGTGTTCGTCTTTGTTAAGATAGATTCGCTCCTGAACATTTCTGACAATTTTAAATAGTTGTAACAACTTCATAGTTCGATCTGTGAATGCTGCAATTTGGCAAAATGCAGCTTAGACGAATTTGATCGGTAATGACGAATATTCTCGACCCAGTGACTAAAGAGTATGACCAAACTTTGAAATTGAACGGTAAATGACTAAATTGGTTTTCTCAGTTAAAAGCGTGTGACATTTTTCGTGGACGAAATTGAATGATATAGTTGGTGAATTTCAAAGAAAAGTCTTTCAAAATGGCCACGAAAACCTAATATTAAACGTTAAGTCGCTTTTAAAGAACCTCATTTCCTCACGTCGATATACAATTTTGATTTTAAGTTTTCAAATGTGGGATTATCTTGCACATTGATGATTTGTTTGTTACATTTTCAAACTACATGTATTTTGTTCCTCTATTAATCACTCCAAATGAGCCTGGTGTTCCAATGAAATTGTACAAAAAGCGAAAATGACTTGTGATTTATAGATCATTATAAATAATGACTGATTAGAGTTAATACATCGTATATTTGAATTTAACGTTAATTATAACATAATGTTTTTAATGTTTATTGCTAGCAGTCACCCCCCCCCCCCTTTTTAGATCCGATCTTACACACCATTGAGCTAAATTGCTCATAGTTTCGTGCAATTTTGTTTCAAACTTTACGATATATCCTGATTGAGTTCTGGTCAGCCACTGCCATCTGCCCATCTGCAGTGAAAGCGATTCTAGTTGGGTCATACAGACCCTGATCCACGCAATCAAGAAACCTGCCATCGAGGTCATAGTGGTGAATATGACCAGTTTTCATGCTTGCATGCCAACGCCACTGTGATACACCAACATAGATCCCAGAGCTATCACTCACTACACCTAAGCACCCTAATCCTGATTGTCCGTCTATTCTGGGTGTTATGGTGAATAATGTAACGCCATTTCCATCAGTAACTTCCACGCTCCCGTGCGACCCACAACTGATGAAAACTCGACCTTTGCTGTCGGCAGCAAGACGATGAGGGTTAATATTTGTCGGTATGGTGCGTAGGAGCTTACCATCACTGGGTCTGTGTTCATTATACAGATAAGGTGTGAAGAAACTCACCAGGATAGTTCCATCCTTCTTGATCGCTACAGTTCCGGCGGAAGGAGGAGAGTGGACCCCAATTGGCACCGCCGTGAACTGGTATGCCAGTGTGTTGTCGCTGTTGAATACTTTCACTTCGGGAGCTGGCTCACAGTGGCAATTCAATACAACCAAACGATTGTGAATGTCATCAAATGCAATTTGTATACGGGGACCTGAAAGTAAAGACGCAATAGTTCTGTTAATAAATGTGGGCCGACTAGACATTAGATATCACGCGTGACTGGGTAATTCTCCCAATTATATAGCTAGCAGTAGGCCCATCAGATTTCATAGTCTTTCAGGTGCCTTATACGTTGTGAAGTATATACAGTGTTGATCTTTTTGGAGTCAAAATGTTGTGACGTCATCAAACCCGAATTGTATGTCAAATATGTCCAATATGAGGTCACATGCTCAAAAACGACGACCTTTATTCTTTTTTACCTTTTTAAAAAAATAAAAAATCAGCTAAAACTGATAATTGCTCACTGGATCAGCCTTTAAACAAGAAGTACAACAGGCCTTTGACAAGGCCATTCGTGCAGAACCAAGCGGCAAAGTATTTGATAAGCGGCTTGAAGGAAGACTACGCGAGTAGGCCAATGAGCTGTCCTCCTTTGATGTGGCTGGGTCGCTTTTGAATGATTCGAAATCGTTACACTTAAAGCGTTTGTTTTAAAGTACTCAACCAAGTCTTGGTTGTATTATTTGCAAGCCTACTCACCAAAACCACGGCTTAATTTCATTGGGCTTTCCTGTTTATCATCGGGGTTGTACATTTCACTTCCCTTTTTGTCATAGCGAAGCACCAGAATGTCATTGTGACGGATAGCGACGTCCGAGTGCGCAAGAGTCTTTGGCTTCTTAATCTCCCGAGCCAGCTCCCAATGACCTCCTTGACTGCTGACCTGTAATGCAAGCCAATGACAAAGCAATGTCGTTGAAAAGACTGAAGGTTGTGCCAAATATACCAATTGTGATGTGATCAAGCTAAATGAGTCGTTTGTCGGGAATTTTCATTTGGAGTTACAGGCCAAAATAGGGCCACTTCATCACATTACTTCGTCACATTTCTTGGTGTTCCGACTTCCACAATCAGTGAACTAAAGATGGCATCAGCACGCGGTTTTCACATCAGTAATGCTGAGATCGTGTTTTTTCAAATCTCTAAAAAAAAACACCGAAATGACCGGGGTTGACTAAGGACTCATGTAGCTTGATCGCATAACAATTAGTCGTACATGTATATCTGACTGGATATACCGAAGCGCATACTCATTCGCATAATACGTTGTCAATTTGAGAAACGCCCTTGTTTGTTGAGGGATTCATGGGAGCAGGTGTTCTTTCTCACCTGTTGTCTGATTTTAGATCCTCCACGCTTGCCACGCCTAGAGCTTGGCTTGCTAGGACCCGGTGCACTTGACTCCTCTGTGATCGTCTCTTGAGCTGAAGGCTCTGCCATTTCCTCCTGAAACAAAATACCCACTGACTTCATGAAAACATAATCATTAACAGTGTGACACGGTGCTATCTAATCCGAAGCGTTGCTGTTGATGTTCTTCGCTAATATCAAGAAAATGATTGCATTTCAAATTAGATGAAGCAGTACAGTGACCGTTGTTTAATTATTAATTCGAGTTCAAATATTATATTCTTAATTAAGATTCTAGATTGTCTCTGACAGATATGTAACTACATTTTCTTGAAAACAAAATCCTGTAAAAGATCTGTCCAATCCAGGGTAATTCTCTTCCGGTGACTTACTTGTTGGCTGATTCCCTCACCCTTGCAACGTCTTGGTCTCTTGGGACGCATGGTGGGACCCGGTCTTGGTTCGTCTTCCAACGACTTTACAGTTGAACTCTTCGCTTTTCTAGTTGTCATTTTTTCCTTAAGAAAATGATAGTATTTCAAATTAAATCAAGCAGTGACTGGTGTTTAATTAATTTGAGTTCTTACAGTATATTCTTTACTAACATTTTAGGTATTTTTATATTGAAAAACAGCTCTCAAAAGTACCTTTTGTACCCATTTCATGACAGACACAATAGTCGTTTTTATTTCATCACACCTTAGGCTACATATACCCGAAAAATGACGGAAATGTCTTCGAGCATTCCACAACCTCTTTAAGGAGACACGTTATAGTAATTTCTTTGCACGATGGGAGACATCGGTCATTAGGGAGACATTTTCATGTCTCCCTAATGTCACTGCTCCCATTTAGAGGCACAATTTTAGCATCGCAAATTGATTACATTTGTTGCTCGTGGTCTAATTAGTAAACATACCGAAATTCGTGGGAAAAAAAGACATGAGAATATTGAGTTAGGGCGCATTTAAGTTTGTAAAATTATGCGCACAAGTCTATGGGGATGTCTCCCAAATGTCCAATCCAGGGTAATTCTCTGCCGGTGACTTACTTGTTGGCTGATTCCCTCACCCTTGCAACGTCTAGGTCTCTTGGGACGCATGGTGGGACCCGGTGTTGGTTCGTCTTCCAACGACTTTACAGTTGAACTCTTCGCTTTTCTAGTTGTCATTTTTTCCTGAAGAAAATGATAGTATTTCAAATTGAATCAAGCAGTGACTGGTGTTAAATTAGTTCGAATTCTTAGAGTTTATTCTTAATAACATTTAGGTATTTTTCTTGTCTCCGAGAGATATATTGCTACATTTTCCTGGGACCATTTCATTCTGTAAAAGATGGTAGGAATCTTCATTGTGCTGTTTAAAACAAAACGATATCTAGGTGTTTCTCTCTGTATCTTACTCGTGGTCTGATTCCTCCACGCTTGGCACGTCTCTTGCCAGGCATGCTTGGTTCGACTTGGTGTTCTTTTATCTCCAAATCGTATGAATTGAGGCAAGTCTGCAGGTAAAGGACAGACACTTATTCATCAGTTATGAAATGAAATAGCGGTTTTAGTGCGATTGTGGCGCTATAATGAGAGTTTAGCCAGAACTTGTACCAATTGGAAGCATCAGAAATGCCGGAATGTAAAACCAGTGTAAACACTTTGGCTTATAACATGCATCAAGAGCGAGATCTCCAATACACAGCTGTGAAGTAGAATAAGTCGATGAGAGGCCAGCACTTTCTGATTTACAAATCAATTTTTCCAGATATTCTCTGATCTGAAATTAATTAGTGGGACCTGTAGTCTGAGAAAAATAAGAAAAAAAATAACTACCCATAAAAATGAATTCTTTAATGTAACTCTGCCACATGGCCACTCGAACAGCTTTATGAATTCAGTGTTCAAATGTGGTCGCAATACTCTTCCCCTTTTCAAACCCTTTTCTATACGCTGATTGCTCGTGTCACTGTTTGCAGTCGACTCAACAGCAAAAAAGTACGGTGGGACCTGCTAAGTACGTGTGGTTTGAAATTGCATCTAGTTATTGCAGAATAAACACACCTTCCTCAAAAGCCAAGTTGCAGCTTCATAATGAGTCTCATTTACCGTATTACCAGTATATGTGTTCTTTAAGGCTTACCTGTCGCTTTGGCTTGCTTCAAACGAATATCTTGGCTCGATCTGTTCTACACGGGCAGTCGATTTACACCTCTGGCAGTGGGCGGATACCCATAACATGGCGATTACCGTACAACGTATAGGCCTATGATGCTTGCAACCATCGATAGTTAAATATTAATCCCATTGAACTTCGTATCAATAAGAACTCGTTGTCTGCATTGATCACGGTGTAGCATGAACTTAGGCTTTATGAAATACGGACTCATTGGTGGTATTGCGCATGCTCATGCATAGATAATTAGGAGAGGGGGCCGGTCACGTGAGAGGGTTTAATCAATAAAAGGGAAAAGAGTCCGATTTTCATACGAGTCCGATTTTCATATGACCACGGCACACATATAAAATCGTACCTTATATTCGACCATGACCTTTTCAGACTTTGAATGTTAACTTCATGATATGCAACTACGCTGGCAGCTATAAGTGACTGAGTCCAATTGCCTACGCTATAAAATCATATTCTTTCCCAAGTCAGAGGGTTAATGGAAACCAAGGGCGGATCCAGGGGGGGGGGGGGGCCCAAAAAAAAGAAACCAATTTTTTTTGTTTTATGTGACATCGCAATAAAGGCAGGCAATGAGTACACCACCATCTTTTCCTCAAAAAACATTGGTTATAAGTGGTCAAAAATTGCCTCAGATCGCACCACAAAGCATCAAGAATCCAAAAAAAAATCGGGGCCCTTAAGCGGGCCCCGAACCCCACGCCGTAATTTTTTGGACCCACTTTTTTTGGGGGACCAAATTTTTTGTGGGCCCCCCCCCCCAAAAAAAATTGTGTTCTGGATCCGCCCTTGATGGAAACTGAGGCACTTCCATTTTAGGTTTTAAGTCTTAACCCTTGGAAGCGTCCCTTGAGCTTACATTTTTTTCAGAAAGTATGACGAAATTTTACCTCAAGTCCCTCTAATAAATTCCAATTCAATTGGCCGAGGGCCTCATATCGGGACTAGGTATACCTTAAAAAAAAAAAGTGATCATCGTTGCAAAGAAAAATAAAGTAGGCATATAGGTCAAGTGATTGCCGAAAATGGAAAAAGGGGAACAAATCAAGGTTTATTGTCTTCCATTAAATGTTAATGAGGCATTTTGACGGCCTCTCTTTTTGTCTCATTACAGTACATCATTTTTTTTTCGTAACAAAGCAGTGTCTGGAAGAGTCTGCAAGAGTTTGGTTATATCCACCTCGGCTGCGGCCGGCCAATGATGATGATGATGTACGATAAACTTCCCTTGTGTCTATGTCTCGAGAGTCGACGATAGATGCGTTATTAAAAATGACAATTCACAGGGAACTCAATTCATCAGATCTTTGCATGATTTCTGGTCGTATAAGACGGGGTAATAATGAATGATAGCAACCACGTGTATTTCTGTATACATTAATATTTTGCTTGAATACCATGATCACTATATAGAACTTCTCTGCAGTAATGAGTTATAACTCACCATATTCACTTCACATAATAATAAATTATCAATGGATTTGTTATGTTGATGAAAAAATAGATTTACAAAATAGATTTATTACATGTCGTGCTTTGTAGTTGCAAGAAAAATCATGTTTACAGGCCGTGTAGTAAAAAAACGACAAATTCAAAATGTATAATAATATGTCTCTCATCACTATAAAGAGTACTTCGCTTACCGTGAATTGGCATCATTAACTTCACTAAGCCTTGTTGATATGATAATTGTTACAATTCTGCCAATCGAGTCTTGCTCCGTTAAGATAACTTATTTGAAGCCAATTACATGTATAGCAACTAACATGATTAGGCCTTTAGTTTAGTGAACGAATACAAACACTGACCACATCATAACATACTGCAAATTTATCAACATTGCTAAGTAGTTTTTGTTCAGATAAGAACAGTCCTGCTGTAAGTTCTAAACGAACTTGTCTTTTAGAAGACAAGTTCGTTTAGAACTTACAGCAGGGCTGTTCTTATCAGAACAAAAACTACTTAGCAAAGTTGATAATAAGCAGGACAAGTTCTTTTCACAACTAATATCTTCTAAGCAGTCACCACATGGTGTTACCGCATACCGAAACGATACCGATACCCCACCATGCAAAGCCTCAAATATTATACTGCAAATTGCTTAATCACATTGTGTTCACTTGAGCAGCATTTTGAACACCAGCTGCATACCTTACCGTACACCAAGTCTGTATTGACTAAATAATTGATTGATTTTTAAAGAATTTGTCAGTCAATGGAATGAATGAAAAATGTTCTCGCCCCTCCTCCCGGCCGGGCCCATGTGACCCCTCGGAAGAAATTAATTTCAGTCAAGCCACAAGACTTGCAGTTACGAAACCTCGGCTTCAAAACACGTTTGGCTTCAGGGAACTCTAGGAAAACCACTGAGGTAGAGCAACAAACTACCGTGATAGAAACACCATACTCTATCATGTCACACAAGACCGTAATTACGTCCAGGATTAGAAGTGGTAATGGGGATTGAGGAAAATTGGAAAGTGAACTTCTGCCCGAAGAAAATTCAGGCAGCTGACGTGCGTGATGACATGCTGGCTGTGTACGTGTAGCCGGAAGGCTGCGTGTATCCGCCACTTCGCAACAGTGCTTTTTGTGGACGGAACCGTGGGACGGTAACCAGTATCAGTGTATAAAATACAATGAGAACTCTTTCATGTGAATCAAAACAGGGGATGGGGACCCGACTACCCATCAGAAAGCAAGATGGCGGCTTTGAGAATTCTTCGGACCCGAGGTTAGTGACAAAAATCTCTTGTTTTTATTCTTTATTTACACGTTACTTGTGTATCTTTGTTACCGTTCCGATTCCTATGTTTAGAATTTAAAAATAAATTGTAAAATTAAGAATCGTTTTGGGGAAATTATGCTGTAAACATGGTAAAGCACATCTCGAAAAAGTCGGCAAAGTTGTCTGGCCTACGTGCATGACGTGCGTGCGGTTGCGTGCAATACATCGCAATGTGTGTAACGTTACATCATAAGATGTTGCCCAAATTTCGGACACTTGACAAACTTTTAAAAAAAAAATGTTGCAACCTGATGCCACTTTTTTTCTTCATACATGTCATAGGCTATATCAACTCAATAAAGTTAAGTCATTGCAAAAATGTTGAAAAGACATGAATCTGGGCATGAATCTGAAAGTCAGCATGCTGAGATTGAGAAACATTAATTCCAATTTTGTTAGGAAAAAATAGGGCCTAAGCCTACATAAATTTTTTTTCGAGAAATAGATATGATATACTGATACATGTAACCTTTACTAGCAATGACAATAATTGCAAATGCAATAAACATGATAAATTCGCAGTAACCTCTTATTATTTCGCAATGCCGTAACGATGGCAGTTGAAAATCACGTTACACCTAGCTACCATAATGATCCACGTAGCCTGCGACAAATAAACATGTAAGACGCCAAAATAATGAACAATTAAGACCACTCGTTTTCCTCACGAAAGAGATGTATATATATTTCTCTATGGTACCCTCAAGCTAATGTCACTAGATTTCACTGGATTTTCTTTATGGAAGATTGTGGCGTCTTACATGGTATTTCTAGAAATGTTGGTGTTATTAACAAACTTAAAACCTTTTTCCCTCAGAATGTGTTATTCACTCTCTACAACGCCTTAATTCCACCTTACATTAGCTATGGTGCTTTAGCATGGGGGAATTGTGGAATTAGTAATATTAATAGAATTGTTGCCCTTCAAAAAAAAGCTCTGAGAATAATTAACCGTACCGACTTTCGGGCCCACAGCAATCCTTTATTTTATAAACACAAAACACTAAAGGCCAATGATATTTACCTTCTACAGCTTGGGACCTCCATGTACCAGCTTTCCAACAATAACCTGCCTAACACTATCTGTTCAATGTTTTGTAAAAATCAGGATGTTCACCGTCATTTCACTAGGCGTTATCATGATATTCACCAGACCTGGGCTCGTACAACTTTAACTCCAAAAACTGTTAAACATGAAGGCCCCAAGCTGTGGAATTCTCTCCATCCATCCCTTAAAAAGGGGTCAAATGTGTCATTATTTAAACGCAAATACAAAACCCAATTAATTAACAAATATGTGGTAGAATAATCCCATTTTGTAAGACCCAATAACTCTAGTTTTATTTCGTATTACTAGCTCTGCACCAATATGTTTTTGTCATTTAACTCCTATCGTTGTACTTGTACTTGTAATTAATTGTAACTGTAATTGTAATTGTAATTGTAATTGTTCTTTATTACAGTGGGGGAGACCTTTATCACAGTGGGGGATGCTTTTTGGAGACCTCCATCCAGCCATACACAATAATTCAAATGTTAAGTAATATTATTATGTACTTGTATGCGTTGGGAAAATTAAAGATTTGATTGATTGTAATGAAGTTATGATCATTTGTGCACAGCTTTGCTGGTCAGCCCTCAGCTTGTGACTCGCTCGTTTCTGAAGACCGATAATGCTAGGACACCTTACGCTCCCACAGCTGTACACACAACTCCACAGAATCAGAATGCTGGTAAGTTGAAATATCGTCACTGACACCACGAAGTAACACCCAAGTCCACTTCAGTGTAACTTTGTAAAAACTGCAAAATGACGAATGTTGGTTTCATGAGGTATGACTCAAGTGTGCATGTGCACATCAGACATTGGGGGGAACGTTTTAGTTTTCACACTGTTACGGAAATACAGCGTTGGAGAAAACTGGCTTTTTTCAAAAACTGCTCCGCATTTTCTTTGCAGTTGATTACACACCTGTGAAGGGGTACAAGCCAGCTAGACCGATTCACTGAACTTACGATTCCCCAAAGTCTGTAAATTGCTCTGTTTCATCTTAAGTGGAGTCAGGGAACTAGACTACTAGAACATGATTGGTTTTCTTGGTTTTTCCGGCATCTACAACCCTAAACATGAAACAAGTCAGTTTAACAATATTTGCTATAACATACTAATCCTCCAAATCCATTTATTTCTGAAAATTGCAGCAAAGCAAATGTTGTACATTCCCTTTAAGCATTAAAATGTTTTACGGGAATATAATTAATACCAGAAAATTTTAATTAATAAAGAGCCTTCAAACTGGTGAAACAAAAATGACCGGCCTAAACCGCGACTTTCATGGGCATCATCTGTCGAGTGTTTAAATGCATGTACCTGACTGTTTTTGTCATGATCAGGTACCCGGAACCAACCTTTCAGACCGTGAAAAAAGAAAGGTTCAGAATGCCATTTATGGGAAATGCTCCAAATAAAAGCCCCGCTATGTGGAAACAAATCAATCAAATCAAATCAAATAATCTTTATTATATCCCACTGGGGTAATTTAAAATGCTCGCATACAATAACAACATCGACACATTATAAAACACAGTTACATATACAATTGCACGAACAATCAAAACGAACAATCAAAATGATAAAAATGTCCTAATATAATATCATATTAACGCTGGAACATAAGATTGTGATGTTTTATTGCACGAGGAATGAAGGAGGATGGATGTCGGTTTGTCGCAGCATAGGGCACCCGCATACGACCAGACCTTGGGATCAGCTGTTCAGCAAGCCCATCGTGAAGTGGGTGATTTTTGTCATTCAGTAGCAAAGTGAGCTTGCCGATCACCAGATCCTCATATGCTGTGTCCACTAACGGCCGCGACTCCCCAAGAATCCTTCCTGCTTCTTTTATAATTCTATCTATGCGGTCTATAATTCTATCTATGCGGTCTTTTTCACAAAAGAAACCAAAACAAATGTCACATGTAGGTGCATTTTAACATGTGACATTATGATGAGGGCTCGCGAAAGTTGCAGTTTACGCTGTCAAGCTATAAGGCCTTTCAGACGACTGCCAGGATGAATTTTAGGGTTGCGTTTCTTTTACGGATAGAGTGGAACGTCGCTATACCGAACACCGTAATACTGAACATTCGGCTATACCGAACTGTGGCTTCTGATTTTTATGTACAAAACGCACTGAACATTGTTGTTGAAAATATAAACAGAAAGAGACAAGAGGCCATCATTTCTCCAGGGAATAGAAGGGGAAAGCCACCTATTACCATAGGTAGTAAGCTCAAAAGTTGTGTAATAACATAATTCAATTGCCGGCATAAGTTCGATGTCATCTTCAGTACATGTACCGGTGCCAGGGCGTGCAGGGTGAAGTTCGGAAGGGCGCTACTTATTTAAAAGTGAGTACCAGGGGCACCGTCAGCTTAAAATCGCTATACCAAATCGCTATTACGAACAATTAGTGTGGATCCCGCAATGTTTGTTAAAGCGGCGTTTCACTGCACATGGATACCCATGTTTTACCTCAATAGGGTACCAGGATAACAGTGTTTTACTTCAATATGGTTCCCGTTCTACCCGTAAATGCGCACCACTACGGACTTCGTATTCTATATTTCCAGGTCAGTCTGGTATGATGGCGTCGACGCGCTGGAAATTTGAGCACATGGTCACTCTGGCAATGACGGCAGCTGTTCCAACTGCTTTCATTACACAGCATCCTTTGCTGGACTACGTTTTGGCCGGATGTCTGACTTTACATGGCCACTGGTAAGTTTATTAACCCTAACCATCCAGAATTCTCCAAAATCCTTTTTGCAAATTGCCTTTGGAGGAATTTGCAGGATTGGGGTTACATGGCAAAAGAGCGTTTGTGATTTCGGAGGATGCACTATGTGTCAAGGTCTTGGGCCGGAAAACTTGTGTTGTTTATGCTCAGCCTAGCATAAATTTAGTCCTTGATTATACTTAAAATCCTCTGCACTGCTCCAGGATGTCACTGCCTCTGCGTCAACCTATTGACAGTCATAGCTGGAGGATTTTGCAGGATTCAGGCAGTGGTCACCTCTCCATGGACCATATTCAAGAAATAATGGAGGTTCACAGGATTGAGGCTATGCTTTTTTTCCATGAGGCCAATTAGAAGATTTTTTCAGGATTGAGGCTACATCCCAGCAAAGAGGCCTAGGGAGTTAGGGTTAATTTGCATTCTCCCCTTAGCCTACTATTGCCTTTGTAACCTTTCACCTCTGCGGCCCGGGTTCGATTCCCACCCAGGGCTACATCTGGATTGAGTTTTCATCCCTACATGTACCTGATTTCGGGCTTTCCTGTGGAACAGGCCTTCGGGCTTGTCCTCTCACATCTGCTATGCTTTTACATTTCTGAGCTACAGTGGCTTAGCACCTTTAAGGGGTTTGAGGGGTTGCAGGTTCGAATCACACCACGGTAGAATTAATCAGTACATTTGTGTTATTCCTTTGAAAAGGGGTATGGAGTCAATCTTCTTGGACTACATGCCCGGCAAGACCTTACCCAAGGTGGCTAACTCCTGTCTGTTCGGCGTCTCGGTGTTGACGTTCGCTGGGCTTTGCTACTTCAACTACAACGATGTCGGGATCACCAAGGCCATCATGATGCTGTGGTCATAAACCAGCCCAGATCCTCATGAAATACTTAAAAGAAATGATATCTAAATCTCTCTATCATGACTACGAATAGACCTTATGCGTGGCAGGCACCTTAGAGGGCAATGCCTTTGTTATGCAGGAATGTATGCATGAGTTGATCTTATATGCATTCATTGTTTTTGCATTAAAATGACAAAAGATTGCCTCTAAGATGGCCACTATACATAGAGTCTATCAAAGCTTTTCAGGGTTGTACCAGAGTCAGTCACGAGTCAAGTGAGTCCGAAATTCCGTGCAACCCTTTTTCAGAAAAAAAATTGACCCATTTCCCCCATCCCCCTCCCCAACCCAATACATGTACTGGATTATGCTCTAATGGGTTTGGAATCCGGTGTGGTGTGTAATTTGGACTCCCATGATATACATCCCCATGGACAATAGCATCCATGGCTCAGCGAATAGAAAGGGAACTCGCTGATGCATATGATGCTGATGCATATAAGGGACCGGATTTCACAGGAGTCCAAATTTTCACGTGACACTGAATTTTTACTTGGCTAAAATTTGGCTGACAACGAATGTGAGTTTACATAGCTTTTTGGATTTATTGAACCCACTGTTGCAGAAACACAAATCATATTGGTATTGGTCAGGGACCGTCTATTCATATCTGGGACGAGTTTCGGGCAGGTTGCGGCTAGATTCATTCATTGTGTCCCAATTAAGCTCTGCATCATATTTATCCAGGACATGTTCCGTGAGACTTTTCATCAGCAACTGCTTTTCGCACCGTCATTGACCACTTCATTGTGGAAAGATTGCTTGGAACTTGTTCAGAATACTGCAACTATACAGCGTGTGTCATAAAAACGCAGGATTAGAAACAAAAATATTAAGAATATAAACCACCCCTATTCATCATAATGTTAACCCTCTTTTCAAAGTACCTTTCCTTCTCTTCACTATGCTTTTTTCCCATCTCATTTGGACAATCCTGTCCAGAGATAGAGTACATTGAAGAAGGGTTATAAATTCCAAGCTGGTCTGATTTGTGAAATCACACATACCTAATGAAAGGTTTGAATTCAGTACAGGTGAAAGCATTTGTGGATCACAAAGAAGGACATGTGTGGCAGGATTAGGCTTACATAATCCTTTAGTCCACAATCAATGTTATTAGTCAATAATTCATGATGCTTTGAAACAATGATAGTCCAGTTATTAAATTTAAGTGATACTTATCATCAGTTGTTTCAAAGAAAGTTTTGTTCTGGTTTAATTGTCTTCAATGCATACCTACATTGTACATAACTGGTCGTTGTGTTAAGGTCATTGAATCAGACCAACCCGCTTCAGAAGGGCTTCACAAAACTTGTCATAACTTTTGAACCAAAAGTCCAAATTCCACCAAACAAAAATCTTGTCAAAGATGAAATTATGGACAATCAAATCCTTATCAACTTAGGCACACCAGTAGCATAATTTTCTCAGAAAAAAAATCGCTTTGAATCCTGCGTTTTTATTGACACCGCTTTACATGTATACATGATGGTACAAAGCCCAGAACATGTCCCAGTATGAACTGAGACAGGCCCTGAGCAGTTACCGTAAGGCAGAGGAATAAGTTGTGCTGATTGAGAAGTTCAGGCTGACATACTTGTTTTGTTTACAGTAGAAATAATATTGCATTTGATTTGAAGCTGTGTAGTTTACGTACAGGATTTTAACATAAATGTGTGCAGGAGTGGTCTGTTATCCGTACTGTACCCTCAAATGTGAATTTGTTGTAAAAATAGAAAGGTGACTACAATGTAGATGAGAGGGATGTGAGTTTTACGAGCAGATGTCCATAATCATAACCACTCTTCCACAAATAACCAATCTGAGTCCATCACTAGTCAGTTACAAGTACATCACAAGTCCAGTCAGAAACTTGTCTGGTCACAAGTAAGTCCCCCAAAGAAGTTTCTGTTTTCTGGTATGCGTGCGCATCACAGTAGCTGTGCACGTCGGCAATTTTTTTTAAAAAATTCCAATGCTTTTTAATTAGCGCAATATGTAAGGGAGCAGACTAATAACCAGCCTGGCAGCACATGCATGGGCAGTACAATGTTGATGTCGCTGGAGTGTATGGTAGTGTATCTGATTTTCGTCTTGACTATCAAAATGTCCTGAAGAGTTTTCATGTCTGTCGAGATCATAAGTGGGTGCAGAATTCTCAAGCCTTATGGCCTTACTGACAACACCCTGAAGGATATTTTTGAGAGTTTTAAGGGGATCGAAGCTTCATCTGTAAGCCAACATTTGAAGAAAAGTAGGGGGAAAAAAACCTGCGTTGCCTCACCTCTTTTGGGGTAAGCTCCATACCAGAAACCGGAGACCTTTTTTCGGCTTACAAAAAATGAACAGTAACAATTACAGGGATGCCTTTGTTGCACTTCGTTTGAAGAGCTTGTTATTTGACTTGGGAAAGGACGACTCATGATTGGCGTTTGATAAACTTGTGAAACTTGTAATAGACTTAACTACCACACAGTTAAATATACCATTCTATTAAATACATGTAGTCCAATTTTTTCGACAAGCTTTGGCTAAAGGTGTAATTATGTACGCTAATAATAGCCTACCTCTTGCGTTACAGACTTATTATTATTATCGAAATATTGGCATTGGATAAAAGCTATGGTTCTTGATTGAAGCTCTAACAGGCTATGTCTCAATCTGGGTTGAGTTTTAAGCTGCGGCAATATCAGAGCTTTAAACTCAAAGCCGGACGTCAATGTCATAGCCCACTATTTGGCTCCAAAATTGTGCTTTAGCGGCAAGTCAAAGTTTGTATAAAGACACTTAGGTCATTTCTGAAACCGTGGTGTTGTTTTTTGTAGATTGGGCTTCCTCTCGGGATTCAAAATGAATAAGCCTTGCATGTTCTAAAGACTCATAATATCCTCAAATTTCCTGTTGCATACAATGGACCAACGTTGAACTAGAGTCTACAGTATATGGCCTGACATCATGTAGATGAGCTCGGAACCATAGCTGGGGACACACCCGTGGTTTGAGAAATGCCAGAAGGCTGTGATTGGGACTGTGAATATGAAGGCCTTTTACTTGATAGGCTGGATCTACCCCATTCATGTTGTCGGCTTAAAAACATTAATGTGTAATGCAAGGTTTACAATTGCTTTAGTGTAGTATTGCTACTCGATGTTAACTTCCCATTCCTTGTGTCATATTATAACTTTGTGATTTGAGCTGGTATCTGCTTAGGTTATGGAATATCCCCTTGCACAGCTAGGGTCTATGATATGCAAGCAGATTCAGCCATCAATTAGGCAAAAAACTGCATCTTGATCTCATGATTCTGATAATTTAGTGGGCATCTTCTAATCGGGTTTTCGGCAACCTCGTCCCCAGGGTGTCAAGCAGTACGCGCCCACCACTACCTGCTCTCTCACCCTGGTATTGGATCATTTGCATGTGCAAGATTTTTGAACATGTATGCAAGTTAGGAGTTGTCTGGTGCCTGCCTGTGCGTTACATTTGCGTTTGTTTTTGTATGCGGTGTCTGGGTCAAAAACAGAATAAATTCATCGCAGCGCGAGCAGGGCGTGAGTTATGAAAATTTTATTTTAATTAAACTGTTGCGATCTTAACGAGACAACAAGCAGTATCACATTTCATATTAATATTAACAAACTGGAAAGGAAATAAATATTTTCGAGAAGGCGTGGACGAATGATCGCGAAAACATGTACTGCACGTTGTAAATAACAACACCAAGTACACAATATAAATCCATTTCTAGCCAATTGCGTTATCGAATCAGGATGCAGGAAGGAAGTTTCCTATCCAGGGTTTACTATTGGAAACAACGTTGGAAATAAAGTAAGCACTGGGGACGAGTTTGGGTTTTCGGTAGCCCGTTTTATTACAAAAACATGGTAGCCAAATTGACCAATCAACAGCTTAGTCCATATTTCTGATCAAAATGACGTCACTCATCATTCGGGTATAAACATGTTTTGGTCCAATGTGATAAAGGAAAAAGTTTTGTTAAAAAGGGAATTCTGCAGAATTTTCCTTCTTGCATTGAGATATATACGCTTGTCTACAATAAACAGGCAAAGCCAAAAGTTTAGGTATTTTGTTTACACTGTAGATTGGCTTTGTGTTCCTTGTCGTCATGCCTGGCTATTTGTTGATAACACAAGGCCATCTTACTTAAACATTTCTTTCAAAACACTTGAGACAAGACATGCATAGTAAAGCTTGACCCAGAGTACACAAAATTCGTTGATTCTTGATACAGAAAAGCTATTCACTGAAAGGCAGGGTCTCATACACTAGTCTTGTTCAAGACTGGTTTGAATTTCATTCCCTATTTTACAGCCATGCCGTCTGCGACAAACACGCTATTGTTAACCCCTTAAGGACGAGGTGTAATGGGGACATTCCTCCACACATATAGCAAGTGGCCCGCATGACTGCACAGCCTTTGTGTGGTAGCGGGACTGCACAAAAGCAGCAGCTGTGGAACTACCCACTAGCCCTGTGCCACGGCATACCACAGCTGGCAACTGCATTCCAATGAGGATTAGCGGCCGCGGCCAATACCGCTTCCCGTACGCATGGGGTTAACAGTTTCCGTGGTAGTGGATGTCGATCTCAACCAACAAGACAAATCAAATCCAGTCTCGGCAATATTGGCAGCTCTACCCGGGAAATTCTGAGGGGGATACCTCTCGCACATGCATTAGCTGGAATACAGCACGTGTGAGGTTTATGCTTGGAATTTCTTGGATAGCGTTGCCAATATTGCCAATACTGGATTGGTTCATCTTGTTAATTGCGTCCAGCTTGTCACGGACCGGCTGTATGCACTACAGGGAGCAACATCCAAATACAAGACTTGGTCTTCCAAAAAGCAAGACTGAGTCTACACATGGACAGGCTGGATTTAGCCCACACATTGGCGTGATCCTATAAGACAGCACTGCCCAGCTAATCGTCAGTCAGGCAGTCAAATGGGTCATATTATAGTCATATATCTGGCCCCCTGGAACCAGCAAAAACAGTAAACCTTGGACTGCTGCATATTTTTTTAAAGGAAATACATGTAGTTACTTTTTTTTTTGGCTAGCCCAAGTTTGCTTAAACTATTAAAAATGTGCCCTCAATTGACATGAAATAACCAGGAATTAAAGATATGATTTATAAATGTTATAAATAGAGTGAGGATACGTAAAGTATGCATGTTGACTGACTTTTTTTTGTTTTTGCTTGATCTTATTGTAAAGATATAGACTATATTAAAAACAAACAAGATTTGTGAAATAAAATGGCAGTGTGTTAAGTAAATGTTGTCCTTTTTCTCTTTTGTGACTTAATATTTGCAATTTCTTTTATTTATTTCCTACAAATTTGAGATTTTGATGACTTGTGATCTGAAACTTGAAACCTTGCAACTTCCTGGCAACATATGCCGTAGTTGGGGACAGTCGAGGGACAACCTGCCTCCAAAATGTTTGTTGCAATTCAGTCACAAAGTTGCTGGTTTATGTTAGCGACTTGCAACATCGTTGTTCATTGGCAATTTTATTGGTGTCCTACAAGTTTTGTAAGCAAATATGCTGAATATCAAAAGTTGGAATGGTGACTGAACTTGTTAAAAGTCTAACATGTACGCAGATTTACTACAGCAGAAGACTAGTAGCGAGTCTACTAAGTCTGTGCACCGCCTCTTCACTGTGTTATGTGTGAAAACAACAAAAGCACGTGTTCGCTGAAGCGTAACATTGTACGTAGGTTAGTCATGCACACGGTTTGTGGTGGTGGTGAAATTTTGCAACGCTTCAACTTCAAGTTGAGTTTCACTAAAATTTATTGCTTTTTTGGCAGTTTGTTACCCCGGAGCTGTTGGTGGATCTCAGGTGAGAATCGGTAGTAAAAACTTATTGCTTTATTTTTACCCATTTATTTGGACAACCACAGGAAGTTCTGCTGTGCAGCTGTGTGAAATCTTGAGTTGTACTTCCGACCGAAGGTCTAGACTATAGTGCTTCATGTCTTTTCCTGTATAGGGCCTAGCCTAGCGCCTAGGCAGTATGGCTACCTGGATATTTAAATCAGTTGCCCAGTTTTCGGACAACAAACCATCTTTTTGAATTTAAGTATTCAGATTGCCAGCAAGATTAGCAAACAACAAACTTGCACTATGAAGTAGCCTGAATGTTGAGTTACTTTTTGTTGACATTGCAAAATGTGATATGTTCATTCTGTCAACCAGTTGAGTTGGTAACTGGTGTTGAAAAAGTAAAAGCACGGACAATGGAAGAAAGCCAACTGTTTTGAAATCGATTTCATCCCTAAAATTTCGACGGTGCTTGTGCAGTGTAGGGCCCCTGTTTAGTTTTAATCACATTATAGTCAAAGATGTTTTTTATACTCAAAATGACCTTTTCAATCATATGTCAATCAAAGCAGACTTCTCGTAATTCTAATGACACCCGTTTTGCAATTTTGAACAGTTTCTGGTAGAAATCACAATTTTCCTGCCCGGTTTACTGCATGCCGGTTGGTGCCTTGCGATTCAGCACGCCTAGCCCCCTTGTGTGGCCTCGGTATAGCTGCGCTGTACGTAAGCCACACATCTGGTTTCCCAATCTACTGAGAAGTTTAGTTCAAACAGTGGCGCATATGGGCTTTAGAAAGATTTTTGAAATTTTAAATTTGGCAGTGGATATTTAGCCGGAGATGGCAACCTTTAGAAAACGTTAGCTTGCCGGATATTAGCCCCACTAGTGTGGCCGCGGTATGCTGCGCTGAACCTCTGGCCACACACCGTGGTACGAGCACTACTGAGGACGTTTTCATAAAAATTACAGGCATTTTCTTACATATGGGCAATTCTCCATGGGAGAGCAAAAAATGTCAAAAATAAATATTTACATATTAAACCTTTTTTGTACTTTTTCCAGACCTCAATTAAATGGGGAATTCAGTTCAAAAAAACGAAATTGAAAAAAAATACATATTTCTGGTAAAAACAGTGATTTTTGCAATTTGTGATTAAAAACGTTCAGATTTGGTAAAAAAATAAAATTTTGTGTATGTATTACTTTCTGAATTATAGGGAAAAGATTTGATTTATTTTATGATGTTACAAGTTACTAACATTACTCAGGGTCATTAAAAAAATTTTAAAATATAAATATATATATAAATATATAGTGTAGGCTTTCATTTAAAAATGTCAAAATTAGCACGTAATTCCGTTACCGAAAAAATGGCAAAAGTTACTTATTTCACAAATTTTCTTGTTTTTTTTCTTCAAATCATGTATGTTGAGAAAAGACCCTACTACAAACATAAATGAAAAATAAAAACTTTAAAATAGTAATTTCTTGGCATTTTTCCAAGTGGTAACGGAATTACGAAACGGTAACGGAATTACGGTAACGGAATTACGCATGCACAAAGTATGCACATTCCTCCAGAAGTTATGTACATGACATTAAATAGGAGATTTGCATGTAATCTTGGACAATAACTTTAAATACTAAATTACTTGTTAAATCATTTCCCTCTTTAATTTGCTATTATACAATTAAAAATAATCAGGTGTTCCATTGATATTTTTTACTTTTACTTTTTCTTTTTTACTATTTAAAAAATGCTAATAGTTGTTTGGATGCTTAAAGAGAATATACAACATTTGCAAACATCAGAAAATAAAACTACCAAGTTTTTACGAAATACCTTACTAGGATGTTGGTAAATGATAGTCTTAAGCATCCTGTAAAATTATGGCACCTGGTATGAAGTAATTTTCAAGAAAATGATATTTTTGTATACATTTCCAACGGTGGTCGGCCGACCACCGTTGGAAAAACCTAACTATTTTTCAACTACTGCTCCAACTTTACACTCTTTCCAGTCCAAATTTTGTTTGCTACCGGGTATTTGTTACATGTTCATGAACGGGTGCAGGCCAGCTAGTCTGGTTCCCTTACCCTCCAATTTTCAGGCATTTATAAATTGCCCAATTTTACCTTTAGTGGAGTCAAGGAACCAGACTACTTGAACAGTTTTGTTTTTCTTGATTTTTCCAGCATTTTCGAACACAAAACTTCAAACATGTCAGTGTAACAATATTTGATCTATTATACTATCCCCTCAAATAGTTCACTTCTGAAAATTACAGCAAAAGCCAATGATGTACATTCCCTTTAAATATGTGTTGCCAAAGCCATTGTCTGGTACCCACAGAAAATATATTCGACAACAAGTATATGAAAGTTGAGTACCAGACTGTACTTGTACTTCTACATGTTCTACTTGGCATAACTTAACATCTTCCCTTGCTCAGAGATGCCAACCAGTGCAGTTTTATTGTATTTTCCACGATAAACTAGTTAAATACGATAATACAAATGTTCATAGTAAAATTCGATTTTCGGTAAAAAAAATATACATTGCTAACAGGCAATGCAGCCATCACCAGACTGCTTTCATTTGACCTTGACCTTTGACCTAAAAAATGAAGCCCAGACATGTTTAGGCCTACATTTACATTCTGATCTGCTAATTTTCACTTAGCTTTCCCTTTGTGGCATTGTATAAACTTCTAAAATTTGTATTGTGATGAGTTTATGTTGAATTCAATGTTAATGTATTGCATTTACCTATTACATGTAAACCTATGGCGTAATTCCGTTACCGCCCAGGCGTAATTCCGTTACCGTGATTCGAATGCAAATTATGAAAAGAGTGATTATTTTTTCAACTTTGTTCTGTATTGTAGTTAACAACACCCCTGAACTCTACAAATAACAGGTAGTGTCCAATTTTAAAATTTCCAAACTTCAGAGAGTTTTATTAATTTATGCGAGAACTCAAATATGCTTGTCCTCTGTCCGTAATTCCGTTACCGATATTAAGCTCCGCCCCTTAAAGGGAAATCTTGTGGGATTTTTTCTTTTTTTTTAGCGGTCAATCAATTCTATTGGGTCTTGGCTCCCTTTCCATGTTTAGATTAGTTGCCTAGCATAGAACATGTTTTCTTGGGAAAGAATAATCCTTGACAAAGTGACAAAATTCCGTAATTCCGTTACCAAAGAATTGCCCATATGGTTGTATTCTATGATGTCCCATCTATCACTTCTGGGATGCTTAGGTGTAATGATGTTAAATTTTTTGAGATATTCTTGAATCTTTCTGGAGCCCATGTGCACTCGTGAAACGTCTGGTGATGGCAGCCATTTTGAATGTGACAAGAGATGACCTCAAGCTGTGACGTCGCGTTTATGCAAATTGCTTGTCGAGCGAGGGTGCGAGTTGCAAATGCGACGGCTGTTTCCTGTACCATGCATTTATCGTCTGGGGGCCACGTGCACTGATCTCTATTCAGGATCCACGGCACAGGAAACAGCCGTCGCATTTGCAACTCGCGCCCTCGCTCGACAAGCAATTTGCATAAACGCGACGTCACAGCTTGAGGTCATCTCTTGTCGCATTCAAAATGGCTGCCATCACTTGACGTTTCACGAGTGCATATGGGCTCCAGAAAGATTCAAGAATATCTCGGAAAATTGAACATCATTACACCTAAGCATCCCAGAAGTGATAGATGGGACATCATAGAATACAACCATATGTAAGAAAATTCCTGTAATTTTTATGAAAACGTCCTCAGTAGTGCGCGTACCACGCGTACCACGGTGTGTGGCCAGAGGTTCAGCGCAGCATACCGCGGCCACACTAGTGGGGCTAGCCGGATATATGCACTGAAAATGCGCAGTTACTGTTTTTTTTGTACTTGAGATGAGATCCATTGCTTATCCACTAGACCACAGGTACATGTACTACTACACAACCGTTGGTGGTTAATATATCTTATAATGCAGCCCTATCTTAGAGAGTACAGCGCCCTCTGTTGATAGGGATTGCTGCCGGCAAACCTTTAGTAAACGTTAGCTTGCCGGGATTACCGCCTGCAAAATATCCACTGTCTTTTAGTGTCTAAAAATTTCTTGACAAAAATTGAAGAAAGATTACCTAATCAGTGGTAATCTACCCGGTGGGCGAAAGATGAGACATCATAGTATACAAATATTGAATGCTTCGAGTGGTGTAGTAAAACTAGCCTCCCGAGGTGATCCATGGACCATTCTATTTTCCCGAGGCGAAGCCGAGGGAAAATAGAATGCTCCATGGATCACCGAGGGAGGCTAGTTTTACTTCACCACGAGATAAAGCATTCAATATTTGTTTTATAACACTTCACCTACATGTACAGATTCTGCTTGATTTTGATATTTTACATTATTTAAATCTGAACACAGTTGAAATAAACTTCAATTTCAATACAAATTGGTGGAAAATGTATTTCTCTCTTAAAAACTAACCCTTCAGGAAATGTTTGAACCCAAGTCTGCAGCGCGCTCTCTTTGGAATAATACGCGCTACGCGCAACGCGCACACCAGCATGCATTTGCACACAAATACCGCGCCGTGGAAATAGTACTTTGGTTGCTAATGGTATAGTACTTTGGCCGTGCACAGAAAGATAGCAAAATTAGAAAGTAACATGTGACTCGCTCTCGGCCAATCAAGACACAGAATCTGTGGGTGAGGTGTTATAACATGTATAAAATACAACCGTGTACATGTAACATTCTGATTGTCTTTTATTAAGGAGGTCACGGTCCCAACTTCACTGCGCTCATCTGTCAGCCTGTCCAGGCAGATTCCGTGGGTATGGGGTCCAGGATTTTATTCTACCCTACCCTGGGCTTCAATGTCTTCATGAAGAGTGTGTCGTCGCGGGAATGGTACGACCGGATCGACCCTACGGTGCTACTGGGGGCGCTTCCACTGAGAAGTAAAAACATTGCGCAAGAGGTAGGGAGATTAACTACTAGACTTGATGGCAAGTCGTTAGACTCTAGTGGTTTATGTCCGTCATCAGCGCCAGAATCCGCATACCGGCCATGCCACCGCTGTTCACGCAACGTGAGCGCTACAACCAGTCATGCGAAAGTCATGTACAGACACGTACACCGCGCGGCATGGTCAGTCCGTGTCTATGTAATGCAGTACACGCATGGGATCGCACACACGTGGGGTCGAAAATGTACGTAGCGTCCCCGCTACTAGGACAGCACGCGGTATGTCGTACCCCCGGCACAGAGCTTGGCAGTCGCGCGCGGCGGACGCGATTAAAACCACTCATTACAGACTTGATTTCAAGTCTAATTAACTACTGAAATGCGTCACCAAGCGTCTGCATGCGTCAAAAGTCGTCAACATAAACATCAACAAATTTTGTATAAGTTTTGGAACACCAGATGATGCATTTTCTGGTGAAAATATATGACAAAAGACACATTCAGCATATGAAATAAAGTTAAAAATACTTAAAATCTTGGTTTTTTGGATCGCGAAATGTACGACGAGTTTGTCAATTAGTGTTGGCCGCTATTTTGTTTGGATGGCACTTGTGTACTTCGCGCATGCGTAGTATGGCTCTGTACACTTCACACATGCATAGTAGGCTAGCTTCACGTAAACAAAATGGCGGCCTCACCAAACTCGTCGTACATTTCGCGTTCAAAAAAAAGAAAGAAGTTTTTTCAACAATTTTGATTTCATTTTATTCATGTTATATGCTGAAAATGTCTGTTGTCACTGATTCTAACATTAAAAGCTTTTGATGTTCCACAACTTAAAGGGGCACTAGGTCCTGAAATCCCCGAAAATGTTATGTTTTGGATTGTTTACTTAGCCTATTTCAAACAACTGGCCGACCAGAGTCGGAGAAAACTGGCCTTTTTCAAAAAGTGCTCCAACTTTTTTTATATTTAGTTTGTCTACATTTTCTTTGCAATTGATTACACACATGTGAAGACTAAAACCCTGCGAGACTGATTCTCTGATCTTACAATTCCCCAAAGTCTATAAATGTGTCCGTTTTATCTTAAGTGGGCTCAGAGAACCAGACTACAATAATATGATTGGTTTTCTTGGTTTTTCCAGCATCTACGAACCCAAAACATGAAACAAGTCAGTGTAACAATATTTTCTATAACATACTAATCCTCCAAATCCATTACATGTATTTCTGAAAATTGCAGGAAAAGCAAATGTGGTACATTCCCTTTAAGTAATGTACATGTAGCCCTCTATATTTCCAAAAAAAATACTTTTTAAAAGTACATTGCACATACATAATACATGTACAATGATCAGAGGGTCAGGATTTCAAATCCAGCCGCTGGTCATATGTTGTGTCCTTGGGCAAGGCACTTCAATCCCACTTGCCTCTCTCCACCAAGGTGTATAAATGGCATGGTTAGGGCTTTTGACTCATGATCAGAGGGTCAGGGGTTAGAAATCCAGCTGCTGGTCATATGTTGTGTCCTTGGGCAAGGCACTTCAATCCCACTTGCCTCTCTCCACCAAGGTGTATAAATGGCATGGTTAGGGCTTTTGACTCATGATCAGACGGTCAGGGGTTAGAAATCCAGCTGCTGGTCATATGTTGTGTCCTTGGGCAAGCCACTTCAACCCCACCGTCCACTTTGCCTCTCTTGACCTGGCATTAGCTGGGGAGTAACCTGCAATGGTTTCGCATCCTGTCCAAGGGGAATAGACATATTCTCAGTCACTTTATGTTACTGAAACTAGAGATAAATGCTGGCCTGATGGTCCACATTGGCTCGTGACAGACTTTACTTTTTACTGTGTAATCGTTGGAAATCACCAACATGTACATGATGTACAGTACATACATGGATCGACTCACAACATGTCTGTAAACAGTAAACATATGTGAATTGATTTGGCCTTGTGTTCCGTGCTGTGTTTGGCAAGTGATGTATTGACTGGGAAGTTATACAGCTACACTGTAGTGATTACGCTACACTGATTTTTCTCAATTCACTGCGTTTCAGTAATATGCAGTGAACGTGCGTCACACTAATGTATTTCAAGAATCGTATTGTGCAGTTGAGTGTGAGTCAACAGTTGTGGTCTGGGCAACACCTGTTGTGCTGTGGATTCGAAATTAATAATGTGACAAACAGGGAGTACCAAAAAGCCATTTTTGTTATTAAAGCATGTTTGTTAAAGATGGGTTGAACGCACAGTATTGCATACATTGTACATGTAGTCTTGAATTCCTAATTTTGCTTAACCCTTACCCTACTGGACCCTCCAACGCATGCCATTATGTGCCTTAAGAAAATGGCATATGTTTTTTGCACGGCCCTCCAATATCTGCCATGTCATTTCAAGGGTAACTGGACAGGCACTCCAATACATGCCACAGAGAACAATGAGAGTCCTCTGATAACAAAATGAGTGTCCCCAGCTGATCAGTATCAGGCACCCTCCAGGGCCTCCAACTCCTGCCAATTGGAGCCTTCACTGTTAAGACAAACTATCTGCCAATAAACTGCAGCTAAGGGAATGTACAACATTTGCTTTTGCTGCAATTTTCAGAAATAAATGGATTCGGAGGATTAGTAGCAAATATTGTTAAACTGACTTGTTTCATGTTTTGGGCAAGTAGATGCTGGTGAAAACCAAAAAAAACATGTTCGCTTAGCCTGGTTCCCTGACCCCTTTTAAGATGAAACAGAGAAATTTATAGACTTTGGGGAAATGTAAGGTCAGAGAATCAGTCTGGCTGGCTTGCACCCCTTCACAGGTGTGTAATCAATTGCAAAGAAAATGCAAAACAACTGTTACGAAAAATTTGGAGCAGTTTTTGAAAAAAAAAAAAATTTCTGCAACGCTGGTCGGCGGACCACCGTTGGAAAAATACATGTTTTCTTGAAAATGTCAGCACACCAGGAGACACAATTTTACAGGACGCTTTAGACTATCATTCCCTTACAATCCAGTACGTATTTCGTGATAATTTGATCATTTTTTGATGTTTGCAAATGTTGTATCTCCCCTTTAAATCAAGTTTTGAATGTATAAATGTACAAAAATGTATATTGCAATGTACATGTACATTGTATATGTGTGCGTTTATTCATCCAGCTTAACCTGAACTCAGGTGGACCTTGTGAGAACACAGATCAGTCAGCGACTGACTCTTCAAGATCAAGCTGCGTCTGAGCTACGACCGTCGATGTTTTGTCGCCTGGCGATATTTACATGTGTTAAGACTATCGCATCACTCCGCACTAAAAAAAAATCAACAGCACTCACAGGATAAATCTGACCCACTCCTCAAAAAAGGGTATTTGGCCAAAAAAAAAAAGTCTCCGGATTCTGGTATGGAGCTTGCCCCAAAAGTGGTGCGGCGACGCGGCTTTTTTTTTTTTTTTTTTTTTTACCTGTTTTTTTTTGGGGGGGGCTTCAAATGTTGGCTGATGACTGCAAATGGTGCCTGACTAAACTTAGTGCAAATATATGGGAGTCCAGAGAGGCCACATAAAGCTTATTCTCGATCATAGCCCCATCTAAAAACACGTTAAAATTGTGCAGCAGCAGGATTCCAGTCAAACCAGTGAGTTTGGCGGTTTTGAGACATCATCTTGTATTGAAAAAAAACCTTTTTCATTTTGCCGACGCTTATGGCTACGGCGACGCGCACGCATACCAGAAACCGGAGACTTTTTTTGGGGGGCCTTATGTCACAAACAAGTGAAATTGAGTTATTGGTTGGTCCCCTGGATCCTACAAAAATCCGTAAATTTATTTTTCATGTCCACTTTTTTTGTTTTCTCAGGTCGTAGAAAAGGAGAACGTAAAAGCAGTCATTGCCATGAACGAAGACTTTGAGCTGAAGAGATTTGTCACAACAAGAGAGGTGACCGTGTTTTTTTGTTTTGTTTATACATGTACATGTACATATTTTTATCGTGTACTTGGTGCTATATATTCACAACGTGCAGTACGTGTTTTCGCGATCTTTCGTCCACGCCTTCTCGAAAGTACTAATTTCCTTTCCAATTTGCTCATATTAATATGAAATATGATACTGCATGTTGTCTCGATAAGATCGTAACAGTTTGATTTCAAAAATCGTATTTTCGTAACTCACGCCGTGCTCGCGCTGCTACGAATTGACTCTGTTTTTACCCCAGACACCGCATATAAAAACAAACGCTAATGTGTAACGCATATCCAGGCACCAGACTGTTCCTCATTTATACATGTACACAAAACTGTAGGCAAAAGTGCTTTTTTCAGGTAAGGCCACTCAAATTGTATTAGTTGTTTTACAGATTTCGGCGACGTAAATTGTTGAAATGTGAAAAAAATGGAAACACAGATTTTAATGATAATCATAAAAATAAAACAAGACGAAGTAAAATCATTGCACACCTTGCTTAGGTGCTTAACCTTAAACAACAACACCTGGGTTTGTTGGAATCTGTTAGAGTGAGTATTGTCAGGCATGCAACTTTTCCTCAGATCAGCTAATTTCCTTGTTTTTCACTTCACACTTTACGCTATTGAACATTGAAAAACACTGTACAAAGTCTTGAACAGATTGGAGTTTCCTCTTCTTTTGTTCACGTTGCATTCCTTTATTGTAGTTTTTGTACAATGTACTAAAACTGATTATGCTTTACATGGGGTTCGGCATACATGTACCTCCAATAATAATAGTTTAGGTGTAAGAATTGTTGAAATTTGCAGGGGTGAGGAAAGTTCCTATTACATTGTGAATCACTCAATGAGGAGTTACGATTAACCCTAACCCCCTAGGCCCTTTTTGCTTACAACCATCCTCAATCCTCCAAAATCCTCCAAAATTTTGCAACTCCGCCTAATTTTTTTCAAAATCATCAGACAGTCCTGCCTCAAAATGCATTCATCCTCAATCCTCCAAAATCCTCGTGTGCTTTAATCACCATTCATCCTCAATCCTCCAAAATCCTCATGTGCTTCAATCACCATTCATCCTCAATCCTCCAGAATCCTCATTTGATTCAATCACCATTCATCCTCAATCCTCTAGAATCCTCCAAAACCGCCAGGAGGATTTTGGAGGAGTGAGGTGGGTTAGGGTTAAATGTCCTTGCTCTTTGTGTTGACTTAGCCTCAGCTAAACCTTATTAACCGTAACCGCCCTGAATCCTCCAAAATCCTTTTTGCAAATTGGAGGAATATGCAGGATTGAGGTTACATGGCAAAAGTGCATTGCTGATTTCGGAGTACGCACTGTGTCAAGATCTTGGGCCGGACCTTGTGTTGTTTATGCTCAGCCGTGCATAACTTTAGTCCTTGATTAAACTTGACATCCTCCGCACTGCTCCAGGATGTCACTGCCTCTGCCTCAGCCTATTGACAGTTATAGCCGGAGGATTGTGCAGGATTCAGGCAGTGGTCACCCCTCCATGGACCATATTCAAGAAATAATGGAGGAATTTGCAGGATTGAGGCTATATGCTATTTTTCCATGAGGCCAATTGGAGGATTTTGCAGGATTGAGGCTACATCCTAGCAAAAAGGCCTAGGGAGTTAGGGTTAAAAAAATCCTGTATCTCCATTGCAAGTTTCTGTATTGTGAGATATCTTGAATTGGGACTGCAACCTGCAGGAATGGGCCAAGCTGGGAGTGGATTGCCTTCACCTGCCGACGGTAGACTTCACAGAGGCTCCTAGTATGGACAAGCTGGAGCGCGGTGTCCAGTTCATCCTGGAATACGCCGAGAGACAAGAGTCGGTTTACGTCCATTGCAAGGCTGGACGGACACGCAGCGCTACTCTGGTTGGCTGCTACCTGATGCATGTGAGTAATAAGGGAGAGCACTTTGCATCCAACTAATGGTTATGGGCAATTCCACGGTTACTCATGTTACATTTTTGATGTACTTTTGAGTGTCTTTGGGCTGTAATTACCTTACTGAAAAGGTTCAATAACTGTTATCTCCGTGGTAGATTGAGTAGACCTAGACCTACCTAAGCACTAAAGATGACATCCAGAAAAAATGTGTTATGTATGATAAACAAGACACACAAAATTGGTAATTCACGTTACAAAAATGTAACGCGAGTGACAAAGATTGTGCCTCTTGTTTAATCGTACATAACACATTTTTCTGGATGTCATCTTTAGTGCTTAGGTAGGTCTAGGTCTACTCTATCTACCAGAGAGATAACAGAGATTTTCAGTGAGGTAATTACAGCCCAAGGAAACTCAAAAGTACATCAAAAATGTAACATGAGTAACCGTGGAATTGTCCTTATGCTCAAGTTTCTACTGAGTTGTCTATTTGATTATGTTGTTTTACCGCAACCAAGCCTCAGTTCAGGACGCAAGATCTCGATAGTAGATCACCTTGCATCAATGTGGCATATTATTTCTTCCTTAATAATTAAACACATCTTTCATATCATTCATATTAACTTTTGGGGGGAATTCTGTAAAGAGTGTTTAATGTATTTGTTGTCTTTATTGTTTCCTAATTGGCGTTCCTAGAAACAGATCAGCCTCCATGAAATGTTGATGGTCAAAAATCCTTAAGAAAGAGGGCGTTACATGTATTTTGAAAATATGACAGGCAAGGGCTGTCAATTCGTTATTAGTAATGTCCGTCGGAGGCTGTTTTACCATGCACTGGCGTGACTGGCTGTTTTTATACACCAGCACGGCTGATTTTTTTAAAACGTCAAACGTGCCTCGACTCGCCTCTTGGTGATGTCTAAACACACTATTTCCTCACGTCTTTTGCACACGCACACAAAGTCTGTGGAGGCAGACTGTGTATTGATCTTGAATTGGCAGCTTTGCACAGCCTATTGTTCTGTTGCACACCCCGTAGTGTTGAAAAGTATGAGGTTTGGTGAGAAATAGTGAACAAATACTATTGAAATCAATCTTGCGAATCAGTATTTGTGGCGTTTGGCTGTATATCTGAAGTTAGCCACTATAATGTTGCCTTTTTTCGAAAATCGAAATTTTGGGGAAAAATAATCCCGGCGCGAACGGGTTAAGATCCACATTCAGTCATGCTGTAACGGGTAGCGCCAACCTGACTCATTCAAAGTACCAAATTCCCATTCCTGTCCCATCATGCATTGCAGGTGAACAAATGGACCCCCCAGGAGGCACAGATCTTCATCCAGACCAAGCGACATCACATCATCATGAAGGATAAGCACTTCCGGGCCATGTACAGGTACTACGACAAGCATGTCAAGAGTCAAAGGGCGGGTCACAAGGTCGATTTGTCAACAGACGACTAGCAAAATCACCCATCGTAGGCACCATTTCCTAAATGTTAGGTTCCACAAAACTTTGATCCACATTCAAATTGTTTAGTCCAAATTTCAGATTGCTTAGGTACAGAAGGGACTTTGTTGTAGACTCATTAACCCATGGAGCAGCCTATCAAAAAAATCACACCGTGGAACCACGTGGAGAATTTTATCACCACATGTGTTTATAGGTCAATAACCCTGGCATGCCTGTATACTGGTATATGCACAAGATAAAGGTAATTTACATGGCCATGGATTGTTTATAACCTGTCTGGGCTCCTGGCAGCACGAAGGGTTGACACAAAGGGATCGGCGACACTTAGGGCTGGCCACTAAGATCTCCAAATACTGCACAAAGGCATTGGACACCATCTTGGCTTCTGTCTTTCAACACTCCTTACTCCGGAGTGGTTAGGGTCTGGCCAATGAGAGTTGATCTACAGGCTTGTGGTGTGTAGTAGGGGTGAGGATTACATGGAAGCTTGGCCTAAATGGCCCATTGAAAAAAAATTATGCCCATATTTGGAAACAGTGGATTATAAAACTACCGTCGGGCTGCTCCGAGGGTTAACAGTAATTCTCCCCCCCCCCCTTTTCCCCTGAGTATTTCAGCTAAGAAGCATGGGAATGGACATTAATCGCATTTCCAAGTTTTTTCCGATGTTTATTGAGATGACTCCCAAACACACGCCAGAGAGTAAGGGTCAAGTTGAGCCTGGTGCCCTAACTTCACCTCTTGAAAGTCGGCAATCTAATGGAAGGACTGAACAGGAACCTGTCTATGCCCTGTTTTTTTCTTAGGAAGCTTTTTTTTTTCAATGCACACAGTCTATTTCAGTTTTTCTTACCACGTCTTTCTCTTAGGTGTGAATTAAATTCTAGAACTATCAAATGACAAGAAAATTGCATTAGCACGAAACAGAACGCAGTTTATAGAGTTTGCCTAAAGTTGATCTGCACATTATGTTCTTTTTGAATTGAAACAGATTTTGTAAATTTGGAAATTTACTTAACTTATGCCTTTTACTCATTAGGTACTTTTGGTTGAAACTGTACGGGACCCTCCAAAATACTCCACTGAGCATATATTCATTGTTATTTACAATTTTTATCAGAGATGCCACTTTTCCGGTTTTAACCGGAATTCCAGTTTTTAAAAAAAATCTCACAAAATTCCGGTTTTTTCGGCCGTCAAATTAACCAGAAAAAGAGAAGAAAAACTGTGGAAATGTGTTGATTTTTACCTCAATTTAGTACATTTAGGCGCACGCATGGCACAATGTTGTTCGTTGAAGTAGTCTCAAAAACAGTCTTTGTGTATGTTGTTGCCGAGCCTGCATGCGATACAAGCGGCCAACGTACTTGCACACAGTATACAACGGCGCCTCGCACGTGCTTCACCGCGTGCGGGCGTGTTGTGTGCTAAGCATTCACACGTAGCATTCAGCCTGGAAATCAAGTCTATCATTTCAGCTATCGGTGGTTTCCGATCGCAGTGATATATGTGAATACAAAAAATGCGGTTACCAACCATGTTTTCGTTGAGCGCATCGCGAGTGCAAGGATCATGTACACCGACAGCAGTGTTGTGGATTCATGCACGTTTCGTGTCGAATGTTACGTTGGAAATTCGGGTAGGCAGAATAAATATTAGGAATATGGAAAAATCAAAGTGATTGAACGAACCGACAGCTTTAAAGGCCATAGAAGCAAAATTAAAAAATAAACAGAACTTGGCTTGGCTACAAGATAAAGATGACAACGGGTACTTTGTGTCGGACACGGAGTGGCTTTTTCACACACAAAAAAGTTCTGTTTTTTTTCAAGCAGCCATTCCGTTTTTTTTTTCAAGCAGACCCAGTTCCGTTTTTTTCAAGCAGACCCTGTGGCATCTCTGTTTTATGCACAGTCCTTCTTCTACATACATGTATTCTCTTTGAATTCAGCAGCGGCCTTTGAATTGTTTTGTTTGTGTTCATAATTATGAGTAAAGGTCTGCCTGAATTCATAGCCAGGGTTATTTATAGACAGTTTGCCGGTAGATACACGTACTTTGCACGGCTTTTGACAATAACATGATAACTCAGCGAGTCATTGTTTGAAGGTGTCATTAAATTTCAACTGGGGGAAAAATATCTGCTTTCAAAGAAGGAAATGATTGAATTTTGTTTCTCCTCCAGTACAGATTAACACCTTATTTTATTGGATTGCGACAATAACAGAGCGAGTGATCATTTTAGAGGTATTCAAATTTGACAATGGTTAATGTAACTGAAATAGTTTGGGATGTCATGAATAGAAACTCATTTTGTTTTGTATTTTTCATTCACTTCAAGTATCATGTTGTAGATGAGATGACTTTGATACGATCGATCGACCAATATTCAAGAAGGAATTGACATTGTACTTAGTTTGAAAAATGTAATTTTTGTCGTTATTTTTTTTTACTTTATTCTGATTTTTTTGGTGAAGGGATTTTACATTATTTTTGCAATGTGTTTATTAGTCACGCATGTATTGAAGCCCTGTATGTGATAATAATGCTGTATAACTGTGTATATATTGGTATAGAACGGGCTGTGTGTAAAATGCCATGCATATCTGTAGCTTAGTATGGGCTCCGCGCAGGAATAGTATAGACATGATAGATGGCGCAATGTGACTTCTGTTAAGAGCACCAGTGGAAGAGACATACCACATGCACATACAAGCAACAAGTGTGTATTTGCTTGCAATCGGGACCCCCTATTGTCCCTGTTTTGTTTGTCCTCAAACTTTTTAGGAAGACTTCATATATATGTTTCATACACAAATCCGAATTGGGGACCTTCCGGAGATTGGGAACCCTATTGTTGTTACTACAGGGTGAGTTAAAAAAAAACGAAACCCAAATGTTGGGACCATTGTTTTAGGGAAGTTCTGCATGTAGCATTTTCAAAATCTAGGATATAAAAGCCCAATTCATCAGCTTTCTTTTAGTACAAGAATCATTCAAATCACTTATGTACTTTTCAAGTAACGGAATTTTAAACACAACGCAAAACAAAAAAAATTCACACACATCCCTATGTGATTTCCTTTCATTTTGCTATAAAAAGAACACTGAACTTTTTTGTGATCCGTGGACAGAACCTGAAAACGGTGGTTGTGTTTCAATTTCGGTAACTTAAAAGTACATGAGTATTTGATTGATTCTTGTACTAAAAGAAAGCTTATGAATTGTGCTTTTATATTCTAGATTTTGGAAATGCTACATGCAGAACTTCCTTAAAACAATAGTTCCAACATTTGGGTTCGTTTTTTTTTTTGACTCGCCCTGTATTGTTTAACGTCTCCTATTGAACGCAGAAACAAACTCACACACATATACATGTATGTACGTTTACCCACAACTAATTTTATTCTGAACGTGCTTCACATGATCAGGCGTCATCAGCAATGTGTTAAAGTGTCCCTTTCACTGGTGTCCGAACTCTTCCTTTGAAACCAGCGAGGGGATTCTTGTGCACCGAGTCCATAAAGAGTGGCCCTTATAAAACGTAGGCCACATTTTAGTAAAACAAGCTATGTTCAACCCTTTCCCTCAAATTTATACAACTTGCCATTTTTTTTGTCTTTCTGTGTACAATACATTTAATTCCAATCGGTGATGTGGTCTCCAAAATACTGCGCACATTTAGATTCGTTAATTGCAACTTATAAATCCTATTTTTTGTACATGCATCAAGTTTATGTGTCTCTTGACAGCAGATCCTGGCAAATTCAACATGACAAGAAATACTGTATCGTGGTCTTGTACCCAGTTGTATTTAGAATCAGTTGAAATATATCTGAATCAGAAGGTAATCCGACCTGATAATTATAAAATTGAACAAAGGAATTGACTGAAGCGGCCAAGATGCAATGCTGCGACTTCCAGATTACTGTACCGATGCCCTACCAACCGACATATCCAGCCCTATATATGTTGGCAATTACATGTACCAATTTTCTCTAGATATCTTTATTCAAAGGCGTAAGTTAGAAACCATAAACATGTACGCCATGTAGCCAGAGCTCATGCTCAAATTCACGATGATAGCAATAAACCTGGGAAATAGTCATCTGGCCTGATAAAGATCTTCAACTAGTTGGACACAAGTAAGGGCCAAGTCACAAAAGGTACTTTTCACAGGCAACCTGCAGGGAAGTTCCTCAGAGCATTACATAATAAGAAATGTATAAATGCCTGTGGTTACACCTCTATGTTCCGACACCCCTATGTTCCGACTGCACATATTCCTATTCCTAACCCTAACCCTAACCCTAACCGGGAGTAACACAATCTAGGTTGTCGGAACATAGGGGTGTCGGAACATAGAGCAGTCACAGTTGTTTCCTTCGAATTGTCTGTAACAAGACGCCTGTAACCAACTTTGTATGATACGACAATAGGTTCAAGCGTCTTTCCGTGGCTTCGCTTTCATTTTATGAGTTTCATACATTTTTTACATCAGAAGCACATACTAGCCTAAACCGATTTGTCTAAACCAAATCAACATCTAAAGTTTGATCAAAACTTTGATGTCATGTAGGGACTGTAATGTTCCTGAGGAAAAGGAGGGACACTCGTTGAGTCAGAGGCATCAAAATCAAATGCAAAAAGAATTCTCCTGAGCGCTGAAGCTGTGACTGAAGCCGAAGTGTAGAGAAACCTAACTCTGGTCAAGTTACATGCAACCTCGTCCCCAGGGTGTCGAGCAGTACGCGCCCACCACTACCTGCTCTCTCACCCTGGTATTGGATCATTTGCATGTGCAAGATTTTTGCACACGTATGCAAATGAGGAACAGTCTGGTGCCTAGATATGCGTTACACATTAGCGTTTGTTTTTGTATGCGGTGTCTGGGATAAAAACACAGTCAATTCGCAGCAGCGCGAGCACGGCGTGAGTTTCGAAAACACGATTTTTGAAATCAAACTGTTACGATCTTATCGAGACAACATGCAGTATCATATTTCATGTTAATATGAGCAAATTGGAAAGGAAATTAGTATTTTCGAGAAGGCGTGGACGAATGATCGCGAAAACAGGTACTGCACGTTGTGAATATATAGCACCAAGTACACGATAAAAATCCATTACTAGCCAATTGTGGTATCCAATCAGGATACAGGAAGAAGGTTTCCTATCCAGGGTTTACTATTGGAAATACGGTTGGAAATAAAGTTAGCACTGGGGACGAGGTTGAGTTACATGTATCTCAGTTGTTGACAAACTTTGCTCATATAAACCCAACTTGACCCCTAGATAGAGGTCATGAAATCAGAAAACTGTTACAACGCTCCATCTGGCTGTTATCTGTACACGTACAATAAGAGAATAATGGAAAATGGCCCAAGCCGATGGTATCTAGGCCCAAGCCGGGTTTACACGTACATTGTACCAGCCAAACATATATATTTCTTCTCTTCTTATATGAAAAATCAGATAATCTCTTCTATTTTTGTAATGTTATATATTGTATTTAACGTATTGTATTCCATGAACTTCCATATATGGTTGTAAACAGGATTGTGTCATAAAAAAAAACATTCATTAAGGCCAAAAAAAAAGTCTCCGGTTTCTGGTATGGAGCTTGCCCAAAAAGTGGTGCGGCGACGCGGCTTTTTTTTTTTTTACCTGATTTTTTTGCTTCAAATGTGTGCTGATGACTGCAAATGGTGCCCGACTAAACTTAGTGCAAATATATGGGAGTCCAGAGAGGTTACATAAAGCTTATTCTCGACCATAACCCAATCTAAAATCACGTTAAAATTGTGCAGCAGCAGGATTCCAGTCAAACCAGTGAGTTTGGCGGTTTTGAGACATCATCTTTCATTGAAAAAAAAACTTTTTCATTTTGCCGACGCACATGGCTACGGCGACGCGCGCGCATACCAGAAACTGGACACTTTTTTTTGTTTGGCCTAAGAGTAAACTTACACAGGAATACTGAGCAGTGAACACAATCATTAGTATCTTAAATAGCGTAATGACTAATTGACACCAGATTGATCCATTAAGCCTGCCCCCTGAGCACGTGGGCAACAACACATGCACCTCTTCAGTGCCACACTGCATGTTTCAGCTGCGTGTTACGCGCGTCCTATTGTATGCACGTACACGCATGTCTGACATTGTGCACGGCTGTGATTGGTCCAAGCACTACTGGATGTAGTTTAATGGATCGGTCAATTACGAAAATCTGTAATTCAAAGGTGCTTAAACTTTAGGTGTCAATTTACCACCTGTTCAACTCCATGTGAAGTTGGCCTTAAAAGATATTGATCTAGCTAATAAGTGGATCTGTCAATTACGAAGATCGGTAATTCACAGGTGCTTAAATTTTAGATGTCAATTTACCACCTGATTATAACTGCGTGTGAATTTGGCCTTAAGAGATATTCATATATTAAACAGCATTTTTGTAATATTAACATTTTGTATGATGTAATAACGTTCAACTGTACATGTATGTATGTACGTATTCAAAGAAGTAGGCTTTAATAATTGTATTCTTCCATTTTGCTAAATAAATAGTCTGCTTTGATCAGATTTTTTTCTTAAGTACATGTATGTTGTCAAATTTGAATGAGCCTATATAGTGTTTGTGTTAAAGCTGTCGATCATGTATTAGACTGCGTTTGGAAACATCTGTGTTTTAACAAATACATGTACAGTGTACATGTACAGTTTCCATTGAACCTACATACAATGTAGAATCTTTTGTTCATGAAAAATACAAGTGCAATCCCACTCACTCAAAAGGATTACATGTAAACATTCATCTACCATGTATCCACAAAGTAGATTTTGACTTCTTGGACATGTACATGCAACTGCACACACAGGCAGAGCAAAAGATATTGCCAGTGCATTTTTCATGTTGTGATGCAGATATTTCTGGTGTTCATCTTTTGTGACTTACATCTATTTTCATGTACAGTTTCTACAGGAAATTGAAACCACGACCTGACTACAAAACTACATTTTAACTATTTATAAGTATATCTGAATTCTGAAGTAGGTGAGGTGACATTTCTATTGATTCAGCATATGAACATTGGCCAGGCCCTTTCTTCTTTTTTTCCTAAGGTATGCTGAGAGTAGACCATTTCAACCATTTTAGCTTTGTTAATTTCAGTCACACCTGGTGATACATTTTGACTGTATAGTAGTCGGCCACTGCCAACTGCCAATCTGCTGTAAAAGTGATGCCCTGTGGGTAGTGCAGACCCTGTGCGATGCATTTGAGAAAGCCACCTTGAGGGTCATAGTGGTGGATATGACCAGCATTATCCCCATTATGCATTGCAACATAGATTCCGGAGCTATCGGTGTATACACCTGTGCTCTCCTGTACAGGTTGATCGTTGATGGTTGGTTTGATGGCGAGTTCAGTAGTACTGTTGCCATCTGTAACTACCACTGCATGTGAGCAGCCACTGACGACAACTCGATCACTGCTGTCCACAGCCAGGAACCAGGGCTCAATCTTGACTGGTGTGGTCAGTAAGATGTCACCATCTGTCGATCGGTGTTCGGTCAACACCATCCTCTCGACATCACCAACTACGATGGTCCCATCCTTCTTGACCGCCACGCCCCGGAGATCCACTGTGATCTTACCAACATCATCCGGTTGCACAGTTGGGAACTGAAATGCCAGTGAGTTGTCGCTGTTGAAAACCTTCACAAAAGATGACTTGAATTCAACAACCACCAAGCGATTCTTGGAGTGCGTAGCTGCAATGCCGAATGGATCTGTGGAGATTAGAAATATCGAAACCTGTTAAATTATTTACTCATTTAGAACTTGAGGATTAAAGGTATTGTTTGGAGAGTGTACAATATAGCTGCAATGTACTAAGGCAGTATTCTTTAAACAAAGGGATTTCATTCACCATTGGAGATAGTGGCTTTAGATAGTGGGGGAAGTTAATTATTTTCTGAGTGGCACATACATTATCTTAAGAATGGTGCACAGTTTTAATACTGGGAACTCCCTGTTTTGGAACACCCTGTTCTGGATAAAGACAGCATTTTAACACCACAATATTGACCACAGCTGTGTAAAAGTGTTTTTTTTTTCTATTACCATGAAGATCGGGGTTGAGGGTAGGGGTGTAGTAAAAAAAGATAAATATGCAGAGTGAATAAATTTATGCTTACATTCTTCCATTTGGATGGCGCTTTTCTGTTTACCATCGATGCTGCAGATCACAACTCGTTTGTTGTTGATGTCTGTAACTGCAATCTCATCCGGCTGTTGACGAACAGCTACGCCCCAAGCCACATTGAACTCCCCTGGGCCGTTTCCCATTTTACCAAACTCACGACAAAGCTCCAGCTTGCCTTCAGTCAACACCTCACCCACACTGACGCCTTCGCTCTGCTTGAACTTCAGAAATGTGAGCCTGTTGTCAACTCTAGGAATACTCTGACCAGCCAGCAATTTCAAGTCGGTGTTGATTGTGGGATAGAGTGAGAGGAAGTCACTATCTGATGCAGTTGTCACCTCTCTAGCTGTCTCGAGGGCATATTTAATCTTCTCACTTTCTGAATGTATTATTTTCTTGCATTTATCCAATTGTTGCTTACGGTCTTTCTGGATTGTTTGGATGTCTTTAACGAGGCAATTTTCTTGAGCTGTAACTTCAGCTCTGATCTCAGCTGCTCTGTCCTGCACTTCTATCACGGTTCCTTCGACTGTGACACCAAGTTGATGTTCCATTCTTGAAACATTTTCTTGAGACTCCTTGAGCTCCTTTACCGTTCCTTCTAGTAAGTCAAAAAGTTCAGATAGTGATTGCTTGTACATCAATGTGGCCTTATTTCTATCGATGTAAGTGTGTTTTGGTTTGCAATGGTCTATCACTGTGCAATCTCGGCAGATCAACATTTCGCAAGTTGTGCAAAAGAAACGCGTTGATTCGCCTTCGTGGTTTGGACATTCTGGATGTGTTGGTAGGTTCTTAGTCACTGTAACTTTTCCCTCACGAATGTCTTCCATAGAAACTATCATGTGGTTTGAGGTAGCGGCAGTTCGCAACTGTGTACCTCGACAGTGTGTACAGACATTCTGTGCACAGTCCAAACACCGATGTGTTGCCTCATTGCCATCGTCACATGTCTCACAGAGCAGCTTCATGTTGCCCAAAGACGCCACCTTGTCTTGAAGTTCAGACTGCTCGACCAGACCAATCAAATAAAAGTTGTTTTTTAGACCCTGTACCCCCGTCTCTGGAAGCTGTGTCTCCTGTTGACAAACTGGGCAGGGAATCTCTGTAGAGCCCTGATGCTTCGTGCTACAGTATTTCAGCAGACATTGCTCACAGAAGCTATGCAGACATTCCAAGATTTTGGGCTGTTGGTATCTCTCTTGGCAGATGCTGCACTCAAGATTATGTCTGCTGATTGTCTCTGGACCTGCGTTTCCTGCTTCCTCTGATGCCATATTTCACTCTGCACACAAAAATCACAGTGTCAAAAGTTAAGGGGAGGTAAACTTTCCATCAGAATAATTGGACGAAGGACTGATTCTAGATCTTGCCTTAAATTTAAGCGCAGATAATCATTTACCGGCTCTTGCACATGGCAGTGAAGTTGGCCAAAAATATTTCATATTGGGTTGGTTTGGGAGTCTTCATCTCCCTTGCATATATTGCTTCAAACGTTTTATAACGAGATTATTGAGTCAGAATCTGTAAAGAGGGTTCCGGTCAATATACAAGACAACAAGGAAAGAATACGAAACTCAAGATTAGGCCCCCAAAAGAATTCTGCTTCCATTTTCCCTACTTGCCCTATTCTGACAGCCCCTACCCTATTTTTTTTTATGGGAAAAAAATGAAATCAAAGCAGCCAAAACCTCCAATTTCTACCTTTTACCCTTGACTACACGCAGACGCCTCGACATATGATCGTACACCAACAACAATGGCAAACCTACCCTATTTTAATTTTCGAATGCCATGTAATCGGAAGCAGAACTGTTTTTGTTGGCATTTGCAGGGTGATCATCGGGCAGATAACTATTTCATTATTGGTCTTTGCCTAGTTAAGGTGTGAATATTTAATGTCGGAACAGGGAAAAAAAAGATTCAAGAATTTAAGCCTCACAGTAGTAGAACCATTGCCAGGGCCGTACATGCTCGAAAATAAAAAAGGGCACGGTTTTCTGGGCGGTACATGCGCAAAAATATAAAAAAAGGGCTACACGATTTTTTCCCCCCAAAAGGAAACTTGTTCAAAAAGGGGCGCTCTTTACAAATATTGGGGGGGGGGGGGGGGTGAACGCTGGTGAAAAAAGGGCACTTGAATGAAAACGTGCAGTCTTGCGAAAATATTGGGGGGCCGGGGGGGGGATATACAACCCTTAGCCCCCACCTGTGCACCCCCCCCCCCCCCCCCCCCGCTGGATACGCCTACGCTCAGTACACATGGGTGAACCTAATAATGGCGTTCCCTTCCCGTGCACCTATTATACGCTCCAACGTGTGCCATGTGTGTGTGCGTATACATGTACATGCATACATGTACATGTATACAATATGTACATGTACATGTATCAAGTTCGTCGAACGTTGTGGCTATGAATTTAAGGTCGTGCATACTTTTGTACTGCAGCCAGCAAATTAAACAGTTGGCATATCACATCACTGCACAAGGCGCCGCGTGCATGGTTGTCAATACTGAGCCTAGTACGTGCCGTTCCTTGGTTGTCCTTTCATCCCTGCGAGACGGCCGATGAGATCTAGACGATTGACGATGGGATGAAGTTTTTCACTGAGCCCACTAAGGCAATATACATGTACATTACGTACAAGACTACAGAGTCCAACGTATACCTCCAATGCACATAATATGCGTTGATGTTCTGCAGGTAGCTCCAACCATGGAGCTTTTATAGCTCCATGCTCCAACCTCCACTCGGTACGTGCAGAAACTACAATCATCGAATAATTTCATGTGCGAAAATTAATGGTATATACTCACAGTCATTAGCCTAACGTTATGAGGTAAAGGCCTTCTTATAAAAAGTGTATTCGTTTTCGCCTTGGTCAATGTTGGTGGCGGGGATTCACAGTATTATGTTAAATCTTACCAAATTCAAGTGCACAGCTCTTCAAGTTCAAGACTGGAAACTGAAAGGAAAAGGCATTAATTGGTGGAGACGTTTTACCTAGATCGGTATACGTGCATACATCCATGTACAGTATCCACACAGGCCTACACGTACTACGTGCACACGTACATGTACTGTACATGTACATCAAGCACGCACGCGTAATAATATTACACTCTGACCTTCAACCGATCTGTGTACATGTACTTAAGTTTATCGGCGTTGTTCAAACGCCGGCTTCTATTATAACGGCTCTGGCTTTTTAACAAAGCAAACATGTAGGCCTATATCCGTATAACTTAATTAATTAGGTGCGAATCTTATGAGGAAATGGACAACACACTCAGGGCCCAAACCAAAAGTTGCAATGGGCCTTATTCACAAGTTGGCCATTTTTGTCGAGTTCCCTGAATGTATTTCATTAATTGTTATAACTGTTGAATATGATGGCGCCAGTTTATGCTCAATGCAGCCTTTATTATTTGCGGTCAATTTGTTTTGTTTAATCTTGCTTTAAACATTAGGGAATGTTTAAGTACAAATTTTAAATTATTCATTGAAGCCGACTGGAATAAATTAGAAATTAAGTTGCTTTCATTTCTCTTCGGAAGTTCAAAAAATTAAGATTTCACCTCACTTTCAATACAATATGGCCGACTCGTGAATAAGGAACGTTGGTCATTTTGAGGCAGATTTTGTGTATGCAAATCCAATTTATATACTAGCTGCATTACTGGACCAAGCCCAGTCTAATGTGGCTTTCTTAGCTGTTGGTAGCTTTCCAGCACTTAACTGGCGCATCACTCATCACTCAAATTCTGATGGGAGGCAGGCTGGCTCTAAACAACAGACGCATATACATTGGGGATAGCCTGAGTGCTTATCCAGAACATATTTTATGGTCATCAACTGATTAAATAGCCATTATCTTAGTAGGGGGCTCATGAATACGAACCCGGGATTCACGGGTTCGCGAAAGCCACATTAGACTGGGCTTGGTCCAGTAATGGGTTCATCCCGCATTAATTAGGTTATTGTTTGTCATTGTCGCCGATGGCATTCCGATCATCGGCGTATCATGGAATTGTAAAGGACAGAAAGCCTAGGTCAACAGCGAATGAATTCTAACCCTGAAACGTTTAAATTATATACATGTACTTTGCACGGCGAGTCGTTCTCGTGATTATTAAATTCAGGCCGGCTGAGAGATCATTGAGATGTTCTGTAAATAAGAAGGATATTTTGCTCGTGAAGCATATTGAGTCCTGTGTTTTTGAGTTAACCATGCCATATTCATCCGATTTGCGAAAATCTGTCGGAATAATCATCTGATATCGATGGGTCGTACACTGGGCTTTACCTGTAGTATTTGCCTGAATTGACACGGAGAGGAGATTTAACTGGCTAACACCGGATCGAACCAAGCATGCCTGGCAAAATACTCGAATCATAAGTTCATACGACCGGTGTCACGGTCTCACTTCTCCGGCGTGCTAGCTTCTCCGAAAGGGAAATTTCGCTTTAACACGCATGCACAAAATTGCGCAGTGGTGTACATTTTCGTCAGCTTCATTTGTGTGCTGAGTTCTTCGGGGTTGTACTAGTGCCCGTAATATCATAGGATATTTGTATGCATGAGGGTACCTGTCAAATCCAGAATTTTCGTGGCGCGCACAACTCCCAATAACCACAACCAAAAAAGACTTGAAATGCACATTTATTTGAAGCCGCATGGTTGCAAAAATAAAGACAAAATGGAACATGAACGAGCAAGGAACACGGACCAAGGAGTTCGTTCTTAATTATTCCTCCATAAACACACACACACACACACATGACGCTGGGAACACAAATCAGAATGCTTGCAAGACCATGGGGGAAGTGTTACATAAACACATTCTTGGATGTCCCTCACTGCGTTATTAATAGGCTTGGTAATACAGCCCGAGGAAAAGGAAGCACAGCGGACACATCAGTATGTATCGTGCTCATGTAACGTGCACTGTAACGTGCTCAACTGTCCACCGAATCCATCCGGAGAAGCTAGCACGCCGGACAAGTGAGACCGTCACACCGGAAAAAGTTCATGCTTCCCGCGCAATGGTATAATTGCCGACTGTATCCCACAATGCACTGCGCGAAATTGACTCTTGGTGGCGCACTGTATTGGTAATCGCCCGTATTCGAACAGATTGAGCAATTTAAGCAATTTCTTTTTATCTCTAAAAGTAGTTTCTGGAATAGGTTTTCCAGTCATTATACTTATTTTGGTGCTACATATTTTTTTTTTTAAATATGAAATATATATATTTTTGGAGGTTTGGGTTCAGCTTTTTTTTTATAACTCACCCTGTACAGCTGTTTACTTTAAATAAATGAAACGATAACTGTTTTACATCTCAAGGCGTCTGCACAGTGTTCAGTATCCCACATGATGTAAGCCTGATCTCAGTCCATGACGCGGCGCTGAAGCGCCGTGCATGTGACGCACATGTACATGTACGTGTTCACAACAAGGCACGCATCTACTACCATCATCCGGGACATCTATGTACATATGTACTGCATAATTCATAATTTCCTGTACGCCAAATGACCTCCGTGGCGAAATGGTGACGTAAGCATAAATTATGATAATTGTACCTTCCTCCCAGTGTGATACTGACGCTACCAGTTTAACAATGCCTGAAACATGTGAAAAGGTTAAGGTCATAAGGTACGATTGATTGCCTGTGTGCTGTGAATGCAGTCAACGTGTTCCTATATTTACACATACAGAGTCCAATGGGTTTAATATTAAACTATCGACACATCACGGTGATGATTCGTTGTATGGCTAGCGCCATTTTGCCTGGTGTCCGCCCATTGCCAGACGTTTCAACCGACTGCCTGAAGAACAGATCGAGCAAGATAGTTGCAATCCCCGATATAGACAGGTAAGACCATATTGTTCAAACGGTAAATTATGAAGTTGCAGTTTGGCTTTCGAGAGAGATGTGTTTATACTGCAAATGCAAATACAATTTCAAACTACATGTACCTAGCAGGGCCGCTAAAGTTTCTTGCTGTCGATTGCGAACAGTGATACGAGCCAGCAGCGAATAGAAAAGCCTTTGAAATAGGGAGGAAGGTGTACCTCAACTGCGACCACATTAAAACACTGAAGCCGTTCGATTGGGCAATATTATTAGTCATTTCTACGGCTAGTTCTTCTCCGATTACAGGCCTCGCTGATTTCAGATCAGAGAATTTCTTATCAATAAAAAAAAGAATTGTAAATGGGAAGTACGGTCTTTAATCAACGTATTCTCATGTTTACAGAAGAGCTCGCTCCTGTTGTGAGCTTTTGTAACCCACCGTTTTTATATTGGTTTAACATTCCGCCAGCTACAGCATCCAGTTTGTATATATTCTGGCTAAACTCTCTTGTCAGCGTGACGATCCCATTTAACCTGCTAGTATTAATGATCTGGCCTTTACTTTCAGACTTGCCTGAACTCTCTCACATATAGGAAATTGTAGAACCAAGCATGCCTGGCAAGAGACGTGGCAGGCGTCGAGGTATCAGACCACGGGTAAGATACAGAGAGAAACCTAGTTATCGGGTTTTTAAATGCACTATTAAGATTCCTACCGTCACTTACAGAATGGAATCGTTTAAGAAAAATGTAGTAATATTTTTTTTTTCAAAGGAAATAATCGAGAATACTTGATTTTACTTTAAAATGAACTCTTACAACTCGAACTGATTTACCGACATTCACCGCAAATCTCATGTTTTCAAATAAGGGTTTTCATTTTCTTTCAGGGAAAAATGGCAACTAGAAAAGCAAAGAGTTCAAATGTAGAGTCGATCAGAGACGAAGCAACACCGGGTCCCACCATGCCCTGCAAGAGACCGAGGTGTTGCAAGTGTAAAGGAATCAGGCAACAGGTAAGAGAGAGAAATACCTGCATCCATATGCACATTTTGATGCAAATGTCCCTGTCCTGAATCAACGTTCAGGCAACGTACCCAAGTACAGCAAGTCCCAAATCGTGCAAGATTCAGAATGGCTATTCACAAGCAGTCTTTCATGCGTCTTTTCTACAAAATGGGCTTCATTCAAACTGTTCATTGGCGTCCTTATAATACCCTACACGATAGCACTTAACATTCAATCAGTGGGTCGAAGGAGTCAGCAAGTGAGACAGGTAAAAACAGAACTCTAGGCTGGCCTCTCTGGGACTAGTACATTGAAGTCGTGTTGCAACCAAGGACAGAATTGGCATCAGTGTCGCAGCTTTCGGAGCAGGAAATACCAAAACATTCGATTATTCGAAAAGGCAAGAACATAACAGTTAACCATCGAGTTAAATGAGCATTGGGTCATACTGTAAAGGATATTTTCATAAAGTAAATGGATTCATGTTATGTGTTTCAGACAGAAAGGACAACTGAAGAAGCAAGGAGTTCAGCTCAAGAGACGACAAGAGAGGAATCAATACCGGGTCCTAGCAAGGTGAGTTCTAGAAGTGGCAAGCGTGAAGGAAACAGACAACGAGTAAGATATAACACCTCCTCCCATGAAGCACTAAATTAATCACGGGCGTTTCTCATACTACCATTTTCAAAAATACGAATAACAAACATCCCCTTTCGATATTCAATTAAATATTTGGTATACTTGGTATACTTGGCACAGCCCTTATTGCACTATTTGCACCGACATTGATTTGTCAATGGCTTTCATTGCAGGTAAGCGGTCAAACAGGTCGTTGGGAGCTGTTTCGTGAGATTGAAGTAAAGGAACCCAATGGAATTTACCGTGCTATTGCTGCGCGTGATGATGAGATTGCTGTGGTTGAGGCCAATAGGGCAAACCGGGTTGCTATCTTCAGCAACGATGGCGAACAAAGAAGCACAATACAGTTTCACAGGAGTGAGTTTACCTGAAAATAATTTTACCCATGGTCAATGCTTTGGATTAGTCTAGCTAAGAGTTTTTTGAAGAATGTAGCGTACCACAGATTGTCTGCGTTGATAAAAAAAACACCTTATATTCATATTCCCATATAGATCCAACTTGTATTGCCTATGACCCCATACACAGTCGCTTGGTGGTTGGTGAGTATGACGATCCAAAAATAAAGGTGTTAAACAGGAACAACACGCTGGCATATGCGTTCCAGACGGCGCCACCGACTGAGACTGCGGAACACCCTTCCGAACATAAGTTGGTAGCTGTCAAGAAAGATGGTGCAATCCTTGTTTTTTTCAACACCAGGTGTGTGTGTACTGAACACAAACCCAGTGATGGTGCACACATACGCACCATACCTGTAAATTATCGTCCTTACTGTATAGCTGTGGACAGCAAGGATCGAGTTATAATGAGTAGTTTCGTAGCTGGATTAGTAGATGTTACTGATGGTTATGGTGCTACACTACTTACCATCAAACCCCAAATAGACGGGAGTCCAGTATTAAACTGCATGGCTGTATTCGCTGATACCTCCGGTATTTATGTTGGAGGGAAGCGATTTAAATGGCCTTATGATGCTCATATTCACCACTATGACCTAGATGGCAGGTTTCTTGATTGCCTGGCTCAGGGTCTGTATAACCCATTTGACATGACATTGACATCAGATGGAAAGCTGGCAGTGGCTGACTATAAGTCCGTCAAGATGTATCGCAAGGTGTGATGCAACATTGTGCATGTACTCATTCGAATTAACAGGTAGTTATGTAAATTTCACATGAGAGTAATCGATCAAAGCAGTTGAGAACCCAAAAAGAAAACACGACAGTTGTCAATAATATGTAAATAGTTCAATTTACATAATTAATGTTAAATTTAGATTTAGAATAATTCTCTCTAGTTGATCAGTATTTATATTAATAAATCAATCATAGGTCGCCTTGGCGTTTAGTGATATATCCTTAGAAAGCGAGGATCATGAAGAATAATTATTTTGAAAGACAACAAATTCGAAAATTAAAGAAAACTGGTCATCAATGGATTGAACTGTTTTCAGTGTGCAAGAACATTCCACATTTTAGAACTTAACCTAAAACTGTGTGTCGATGTCAGCAAATGAGGTTCTATAATTGCGATTTAATCTTTAATATTTTGAAGATGTAGACATTTAATGGTGATTTTGTTTACCATGTTCAAATTCGACTGGGGAACTTGAACAAAGCGGATTTGAAAGGAAATAAATCGAAGCGCTAGTAGTTGGCCAATTCGCTGTAGCATTTGTGTTCAAACATTGAATAATGGGAGAAGGTTTGACAGAATCGTTTGATTAACTTTAATACACGTCGTTTCAAAAACAATCAGATATCCTGTTGGTATATAGACACGGTGTTTCTCGAAATTAAACCAGTGAATATTTACTTTGTATAAAGCTATGTGAATTCCCTGAAGTTAGGGTTTATCAAATAGAAAAGTATTTGGAATAATGATGTGTTTTGAAAAGTTTGGATGACTGACACGTCCTAAAAAAATCAATAAATTATTTAGTCGTTAAATACCGTGTTCGATGAAGCTGTATATGTAATGCGTCTGTTGTCTGAAATTTTCATTATCACTTTTGTAGCGCTTACGTAACTTGCATTTTATGAAGTTTTCGGCATAAGTGGGCATGCCTTTTGTTGATTCCTGTATTATATAATGCGTATTGCTGTGTGGCGTCGCCCTATTGTGCCTCTGGCCTTGCATTGTATGCTGCGATCGTTGCTCGTCTTCGCGATACAATATTTTTGCTGCTCGCTGCACGGATTGGTTATCAAGGTGCTGTATTTACAATACAGTTCTCCTTCTAACGTTTAAATTACACGCTAATCGTGCTCATGGCAGCTGTGTGAGCTCTTTTATCTATTTTGTTGCTCCTGGCTTTTGCCGTACGTGCAGCAGTTTGTCGAGCTGTAAACTGCGGGCAGTGTGGCGCAGCCTGACAGCCACTTGGTGAATGAGTTTACCCTTTAAAATTTGCTGTTTTGATAACTGATGCAGACGGTCAAGTTTTAAGATTCAGAAGTTCGCGATGCCTATGCCGTGTTAGCTCAGTATAGTTGACGTTAGACAGTTATTGTTTTGTGATAGGTCTACTTATGGAAGTTTTTGATGAATGTTTAAATTGTTAATAGAACGCAAATAAATTTAGTAATTATTGCATACATGTATACAAAGATAGATTGCTCCTCATATGTTGATCGGGCGCTTATTATGTACGATTAGAAGTGACAATCGAAAACATCTGAGCTCCTTTCAGTGGTTAACTGTCGATCAACGTAAAACTTTACCCGAGACAGGGAAACATAAACTTCAATCATGTTGTGAAACTTTCTTTTTAGAGACAACCCGAATATGGAGGTTATATTCACTAGCAGCCTTTCATGCGTCTGTTCTACATAATGTTCTTCAGCAATTGGGCGTCAACGTAATACCCTATACAACAGAACTTAACATTCAATCAGTGGGTCAGTCAAGTAGTCAGTAAGCGAGATAGGTGCAAAGAAAACTCTAGGACCAGCAAATTGAAGTGGTTTTGCAACCAAGGACAGATTGCCATCAGTGTCGCAGCTTTCGCAACACCGTTTTATTGTTAAACAAGTTATAAGTTAATTGTCTTTCCAAATCCCATAGACTTTGTCTGTGATATGTTTTCCCAACCGCTTTTGGCATTCATCTTTTTCATATAATAATAATAATAATAATCGGCATTTAAGAACGCTCTTATTAGTAAACTAAATCACAGCGCTTACAAATAATGAACAATTAAATTAAATAAATAAATTAAGTTAAATAATAAAATCAGGTAGCATAGACAATGAATTGATTATTGGTGGAATAAATTGGTCTTGATCAGCTTCTTTTTGCTCGAGAGATTTGGCATTTTGAATGGAAAAGGGCAGACTATTCCACTCCTTCGCTGCAGTGGTTTTTTGGTGCACATATCTTTTTTTTTCTTCCAATGGACAATCTAAATCTACCGCTTAATTTTTATCAATTGGTGTTTCAGATTTTTCCTCACAAAGATGGTCAGGTTTAACACTGTAAGGAAGGCCTAGGCCCTAGTCCTGTTTGCCAGAGCAATTCTCAGTCCAATTTCATCAAAATTCCTAATGGTGCTACACTATTTACCATCAAACCCAAATTAGACGGGGTACCAGTGAAATACTGCATGGCTGTATTCGCTCTGTACCTCCGGTATTTATGTTAGAGTGAAGCGATTGAAATGGCCTTATGATGCTCATATTCACCACTATGACCTAGATGGCAGGTTTCTTGATTGCCTGGCTCAGGGTCTGAATGACCCAAGGGTCATGACATTGACTTCAGATGGAAAGCTGGCAGTGGCTGACTTGAAGTCCGTAAAGATGTATCGCAAGGTGTGATGCAACATTGTGCATGTACTCATTTGAATAAACAGGTAGTTCGATCAAAGCAGTTGAGAACCCAAAAAGAAAACACGACAGTTGTCAATAATATGTAAATAGTTCAATTTACATAATTAATGTTAAATTTAGATTTAGAATAATTCTCTCTAGTCGATCGGTATTTATATTAATAAATCAATCATAGGGCGCTTTGGCGTTTAGTGATATATCCTTGGAAAGCGAGGATCATGAAGAATAATTATTTTGAAAGACAACAAATTCGAAAATTGAAGAAAACTGGTCATCAATGAATTGAACCGTTTTCAGTGTGCAAGAACATTACACATTTTAGAACTTAACCTAAAACTGTGTGTCGATGTCAGCAAATGAGGTTCTATAATTGCCATTTAATCTTTAATATTTTGAAGATGTAGACATTTAATGATGATTTTGTTTACCATGTTAAAATTCGTCAGAGGAAACAAAGGGGATCTTAAAAGGAAATAAATCGAAGCGCTAGTAGTTGGCCAATTCACTGTAGCATTTGTGTTCAAACATTGAATAATGGGAGAAGGTTTGACAGAATCGTTTGATTAACTTTAATACACGTCGTTTAAAAAACAATCAGTTGCCTTGTTGGTATATAATTAAAACAGTGTATATTTACTTTGTATCAGGCTATGTGAATTCCCTGAGGTTAGGGTTTATCAAATAGAAAAGTATTTGGAATAATGATGTGGTTTGAAAAGTTTGGATGACAGACACGTCCTAAAAAAATCAATACATTATTTAGTCTTTAAATACCGTGTTCGATGAAGCTGTATATGTAATATGCGTCTGTTGTCTGGAACTTTCATTGTCACTTTTGTAGCGCTTACGTAACTTCCATTTTATGAAGTTTTCGGCATAATTGGGCACGCCTTTTGTTGATTCCTGTATTATATAATGCGTATTGCTGTGTGGCATCGCCCTTTTGTGCCTCTGGCCTTGCATTGTATGCTGCGATCGTTGCAATCTGATCCAAGTTGGGCCCTTATTCATTATTCATTTAGTAAGTTGGGGTTCATGCATTCCAATGTGGATGAGGTAATGTCTGGGTTTGGGTGAGTGGTTTCAGAGCACGTGGTGCCTATACATAGCTATCATGCAAGGATACTACATCCCAACATTATTGTTGGCCCACTTGGCCAGGCCAGAGTTGACGTTTGTAATTAGTCCATGGCTGGTCAGAGTTGACGCTTGTTGGTCAGAGTTGACGCTTCAGAGTTGACGCTTGTCGTTCAGAGTTGAAGTTCGTTTGTTTGTTGGTCAGAGTTGACGCTCAATCGTTTGTTGGTCAGACTTGATGCTCGTTCATTTCTTGGTGTTGTGATTAACACGCTTGTTGGTTCTTTGGTGTCGTTGTTGACACGCTCGTTTGTTCTTCGGTGTCGTTGTTAACACACTTGTTTGTTCTTTGGTGTCGTTGTTAACACGTTTGTTGTTCTTTGGTGTCGTTGTTAACCCGCTTGTTGTTCTTCGGTGTTGTTGATAACACGCTTGGTGGTTGGTTGAACCATGTTCGATTTAGAACACGTATTCGTCTGCGGAGTTGCTATCCGGAGAGCTTGGTGGGTTGTTGCTGATGATGGCGTTGGACATGTTTGGTGCCCATCTGTGTTGGTCTGCCACGTCTGTGCTGGTCTGCTTTCCTTGACTGGATCTCGTTGTATGCATTTTTGGATGATGTGATCCGCGATGCCGAGAATTCTAATGGCAAGGTGAAGATAGTGGCTGTGGCTAGAGGTGGTCTGGTGCAGCTTTGTGACCATCTTTGATAGGTTGATATCCTCCTGATTTGGATCCCATACCCTCGTCGCCAATGTAATGTAGTGAGCTTGTCACTAGCACATGGATAGTAGTTGTTGCTTCGATGCTTGCTTGGTTTATTGTCTCACTACATCTCAGTACATCACATGAGGTTCTATGCTTATCAAAGGGCTACATTGTTCTAGGGTGCAATCTGATCCAAGTTGGGGCCTTATTCATTATTCATTGAGTAAGTTGGGGTTCATGCATTCCAATGTGGATGAGGTTATGTCTGGGTTTGGGTGTGTGGTTTCAGAGCACGTGGTGCCTATACATAGCTATCATACAAGGATACTACAATGTCGTGGTCCATTTTTGTGTTTCTGGCCCCTCCTCTTAGCACTGTTTTCCCGTCTGCCAAGTCTTAGATACGTGGCTACAATTGACCTGCAGCAGTAGATCTGTTTATGTCAAGACGCGTTCAAGATAGTATTGGGTATTACAATTGTTTACGTTTGAAATTCTCATGTAACGCCCATGAGCTGGCATATTGATATTTCTAGTGCTTCAATCTAGCAGTCTGCATGGTGATCAGAGTAGTGGCAGAGTCTTGTGGGAGACAGGTTTTTATATCTTTATTTCCAAATTGTAACAAAAACACTTCACCTTATTCTAACAAACAACGGAACGACATGGACCTATTTCGAATTACTTTGCTTATATACTTTTCACATAATGCTTGCTTAATGGCGAATTCGAATGACCAAACTTACACAGCTTGAAGCTCCGGCGAATTTGGATGCTCGTTTGTGCAATTTTAATCTGAATGCCCTATTTTTGAAAAGGCATGATTAAAATGTGAAATCGCATGTGTCTCATGGGAAATTGAGTGGTGTTTTTACTAATTGAATGAGTCAAACGTACATTCAAATTCGTGCGAAAATGGGTGATTGGTTGTAAATTTGGCCGCCAAATCTGCTAACTTGGCCGGGAAAACCTATATTTTGTTGCTCCTGGCTTTTGCCGGGTAGCAGTTTGTCGAGCTGTAAACTGCGGGCAGTGTGGCGCAGCCTGACAGCGTGGGAGAGGACACTTGGTGAGTGTGTATACCCTTTAAGGAAAGTGCAGTATGAAGGACACTCCGTATTTTATCGTCATGCAACAATTTCTTACAAAGGGGGCGCCCTACACAAACACTACTCAGGTAGCAGACCAGTAAATAAACTTCCATAGACCCCAATGGTAAATGCTCCCACTTCAAAAATTCGGGAAAAATACTCACAACTCTCCAAAGTGTTCGAGACACACATCAAATTAAAGCTTATTTCATCATCTTTCATTTTCTGTTCAATTTACGGGGG